GATATCATTCCGATTCTCGGAAAACGCCACGGTACTAAATACATTTGCTTCGGGTAGCTGGAGACGAGAAGATCGGGCGCTGTTTATGCCAATCGATGATTGGAGGCTGTAAGTTTTTGGGTTTTTAGGTCGTTTTTCAGAGAATTCAAAGCATTAATGACAAGCCATACCCTTGCAGTTTTGATTTTACGATGAAACCTGAAAAGGGAAAACTGAAAATTTTCATCAACAATTTCGAATTTGCCACCTATGAGGAGAATCGTGAGCTAAAAAGCAGCACGCATTTCGCGATTCAGGGGGATGTGGAGGTAGGAATCTTTATCACTAATCCATGATGATTTCAGGTTCTGAGCGTGCGGTCGGACGGCATGTTGTTGGCCTGAAAATTGGGATAAATCTGAATCTCACTTGACTTGAAATGTTATGCTTTAATATTATCGTTTTCCACATTTTGCTTCGTTGCAGGGTACCCATTTCTTTCTATCCTTCAGGTGCAATAAATAAAATATAATTTAATATTTTGAAATGGTAATATAGTATGTACTATCAGGTTGGTACGAAGGTTCTGTCGTCCGGGATTTTGGACGGCTGGCCAAAATCATAGATAGCTCCATTCTGCGTACGCGAGATGACATGGACGTCCTGGTCCTCCAAGATCAAGGAGAACCGAGATCCAGGCCCTAGGAGTTGTCAAAAAAAATTATACAAAAGTGATTTAGCGCGTGATCTCACATGCGGTGGTTTGCTTGCTATATCTTTAGCGCCAATCGATAGCTATCGCCGATTCGATATCGATAGATGTTGGGGATTAAGATCGGATTAAATCGACAATGATATGAAAATGTACGAAGCATACGTATTCAAAAAGTTATGAAGCTGTTCGGGGCGAAAAAGGACAAAAAATGGGGAATTTTGGACCCTTTTCACCCTTAGGGCCTTGAAATTTTTAATCCAATTGCTTCGCAGCTTTTGAAAACGGCTGCGGAATCGCAACCGGGCCGGAAATCGAAATCTTCACAGGACAGGCTTGGCCCCATACGGAAACTCGTTTGCTACTAAAAACGACCTCTTGTAGGACCCTCAAAAATTGGCCGTTCCCATCCCCCCAGCCGTAATTCAACTCCCAGCTGATCGAAATTCGCCCCTTCTGACACATGGCAACACCGCTTTGGCAATGATTAATCGCGCGTTTTTGCTTGGCAAAAACGAAACACGCCCCTAGGGCCTGAATCGCCCGACACCTGGTCGGGCTGGGCTCCTTTGGGCGGCTAGTCATTTTCTGCCAAATTTTCCATAGCTAATCCCGATGCCATCCCCCGATCCTGACATCGGCGAACGAATTTTGCTTGCCTTCGGTTTGGAAGGTTAGTTTGGAATTGATGTTTTTGGTCGGTACCCGAAATCTAACGAGTTTTGTTGCTAAATCCTTGCGGTTTCCGGTGTAAGCCGGTACCGGCAAAAATATTCCAGGAAATCATCCCCAGGAAATTTTAAATTTGCCCGAATTATACGTTTTGACATCATGGAAAGCAGTCATTTTACCAACATTATATTTTCGAAAATCACTTTGACAAAAGCTCACTTCTTGAAACGTATTTTTCGAGAGTCAGAATTTCGAAATTTTAGGAAATTGGTAGGTTAATAAGGAGACTGATTTGGTCTGAATTGAAGGAAAAGATGTGATTTTCGAATGATCATTTTTGGAACCGTTATTTTCGCAAAGCTCGCAACAGTTTTCATCAAAACCATCACGATTTAGCGGGTCTTTTGGAGACTCTCGGGAATTCGAAAATTACCTGCCGGTTGGCTGTGGAGAAAATTAGTCAGATCGGCTGACATAGTCTCGGTACCCCCTAAAAAAGTGGAATATCGTAGCAGGATTCGCTTTTGCAGCTTGTCTTTAGAACGAGCTGAAACGGCACTGGCAACAAAATGGGTATATGATAGCTATATTTGGCGTTTCACTTTAGAACGTCAACCGGGGATCAAAGTGGCAGATCCTGAAAGGACGGAGCTGTTGGCGGCAACCGAAAAGGGAAAACCGCCCAAGAGTTTGAAGCAGCAATGCTGCACTTGGCTCAAAAACATTTGTGCCTTCTGCTGCTTTGCCCTCTTTGCCTTATTCTGTATTTTTTGGACATACCGTAAGCTCAATCTATCGACTTGTACGAATTTTTGCGAGGTAGTCAAGCAGAATGTTTCAGTCCTGTTCTGGCACCATCAAATGTGTGGAGAGCTAGCGGACCGCGGGGAACCACTACCGGGCAGCTGCACTCAACCGTGGGGAAAATTCACCATTAATATGATCCTTGTTCTTAGGATTCTTTAACCTCCGGGTGACCGGGAAGCCGTCCATGGGATCGCTGCTGATCGGAGGGAACCTCCCAAAAACCTTGTCCCTTACGTCCATGATTTTCTTGACCTTGAAAAATTTTTTTGAAAGCCGTACGTCATAGATTTGGCTATCCCAAAAAATGGAAACAAAAATGCTCTTTTGTATGGGCATCTATCCGCCGAAATGCCAAAAATTTCAGAAGAAATAATTTCGAATTTTGACACCCAGCGATAAAGCGTTGGCTGAAAACGTGCAGCCTACAAACAAATATTTTACGAAAATAGTAATGAAAACTTATGCCAAAAATTTCACGCCAAAAAAGCAAAACGGAAAAATCGTCAGCCGATCCGTAGCCCGGTCACTATCCTATCAAGCGTGCTGTTTCTCAATCGGCATTCCACCGGTGTTTCGATAATGCTGATTGTGAGGCTAACGTCACACGCTATTATTTGGCGGGGTCGAAAGAGCCGTGGGATCATTTTTGAATTTGGCAAAAATTTGGCAAGAGTCTGGCTGTCAAGAGTTGTCAGAGACTGTCCCTTTCATTCTTTCTTTATTAATAGTCTCTATTTCTTTATTAATAGTCTCTCTCGCTCTCATGCGTTTTCCCCCCCTAACGCTGTGTATGTCTATTTCCACAATTGAAGCAATTCTCCATTCCATTATCCAATATACCTTCTGGTCCACCCCACCCGCCCCCCACCTGGCCCACTACCCCGTCAGGTATCCCCCTCCCTTCTCTTCGGAAATCAGCTTTGCGCAGAGGTGATAACGTGACCAATGAGGCCTAGCCGAGGTGCGTTTATTGCTGGTTGAAAACTGATACCAATTACCCGTCGCTTTCTGCCCTGAAATATGGGTGTTGGCGCAATTTTTGAACGCCCCTCGGGGGCAGCAAATCGAATATAAAAAGCTGTATCCTTTGTAACTATGCTAACAACGTAAAAAATATGATTTCGGCGGCTCAATAGCGAGAGAATAGCTCCGAGCTGAGCATTTTAAAATTCGTGGACTTTGTCAATTGCAGGAGTTTCGCGTCCTGAATCCCTTCAAGAAAACTAGGTCTAATTTCTGATCACTTCCTCCCAGCTCGCGATGACGCAGATAGGCCACGTGAGGGGAGAGCTGTACTCTAAAAATAGCCCCCGCTGAGGTATTTCTGTTTGTTTTCACCTACCTGGCCGGGGCCCAAGGCCACGCCCCCTAGCTCCAGCCTAGCCTAGTCGATTGTGGGCCGACAAAGGCTAGCGTTTACCTGGCCGGCGCCTCGCCTACTAATTTACATAATTTCCGTAGCGCCGTTTATGCCAAGCTGCGGCAAAAACGGGGCCACAGATGTTAAATATGCAAATGGATCTAATATTGCGTTCACGTCAAGTGCGCCAGGTCTGTTTTAAGGTATTGAGGGTATCGAAATATTTTGCTATTGGCTTATTAAGACCGGAAGGCTTGGTATAGCGAGATGAGATCCTCTACGAGTTCAGAATGGGTCGATATTTCGTCTCATGGAGCTGCGACATCCGATAGTCAATTGACGCGCCCCGTAGTCAGGAGCAACGCGGAGCCCAGAAATGAAGCCGCTCGTCCAATTGGTCTGAAAAAGAGGATTTTAATCTTATGCTGTGGAACCACTGGATGCATAGTGGTGGTCGCAGGTAACGCAAATTTGCTGGATTGATAATTCCTAATAATTTTCTACAACAGTTGGTTTTAAGAATTAACAAGAATTAAAAAAAAGTTATTGTAGATTAACAACGGGTTTGTGGGGGTTTAGAAAATTTGTTGCGTTAAACAAAGTATGAATTATGCCTATAGAAAGCTGCTCCTTTGCTGCTGAGCATTCCTCTTCCAGCAGTCCTCACCGGTCTCGGGTTCCTCATAAAATTTCTCATCGAATACGAGCCGAAACCTGATGAAATCCAATTTTGGGACGAGGCTCCACTCGTAAGTTCTAATATATAATTTTTAGCCCAATCTTTAATATCAGGAATATACCAATCCGAATCTTGACATCAGAAAGAGTTTATCAATACCTCCAAGAATTGGCCAATACCTTCATGTCGTCGGGCGTTTGAATTTTACGGTCAATCGGTGAGAAAATTGGAGGCAATAATCATATATGAGATTTTTTAGCTTTTGCGTTTCACTTTCTAAGGATTGTAATGATTCAAATAACGTGTCCTGTAGCGTTTGCGCTTTTTTTGGAAATGGTAAGACAAAACGAACACGAAAAGACAAAAAGACCCGAAAATTCGAACATCTTTTTCTAGATTCTAAAATCATTTATGAAGCTTATCGAGCGGGTCAGAGGGTGCTTTATAATGAGGCGCCAAATCCATTTCCGGTAATTTAATTTATCGAGTTGCTAACGAGCAAAAGTCTCAGATTATTGAGACAACCAAAGCTTTGCCAAAAATCGATCTCCGAATTCGATTCCTCTCCGATTACATTCAAATATTTGCCGGAACGCGGGGAAGTCGGGATTTTCGAGAAATTGCCGGAAGTGCACGCGGTAGTTTTTGATGAACTAGTTTGAAATCTAAAACTTTAGGCGACCTGTGTCAAGTTGACGGGTGACTTGGTGGATCCTTCTTTGCTAGAATTGGATGGTGACAATTATTCAATGCCGTTTTTGAGGCCCTTCAATTATAGCAGGAGGTTGGATATGGCGCTGAAGCCAGTAGCAACGGGTTGGTTAACTCTCTCTCTCTCTCTCTCTCTCTCTCTCTCTCTCTCTATCTAGCTTTCTCTCTCTCTCACACTCTTGCTCTCTCACTCTCCATCTCTCTCACTCTCGATCAGGCCGTCGTCTTTACGCTTTTCTCTCTCACTCTCTCTCTCTCTCTCCCCTCTCTCTCTCACCACCTCTTGCTCTCTCTCTATCAGTCTCTCTCTTGCTCTCTCTCTCTCTCTCTCTCTCTCTCTCTCTCTCTCTCTCTGTCTGCCTCTCTCGCTCTCATTCTCTCACTTGATCCTCAGTTCAACCGATCTAATTTAGTTGCCCCCGCTATATGGGATTCGCTGATCGAAGGCCAACAAAGTGAGCACTAGAAAGCCTTAAAATTAAACTCACATTTCTTAAAGCTCCAACCTTGCGCGTCAAAAGAAAAGGAGGAATGGGAGGCGGGCGTGGAGGTAGTGCAGCTCGTGGCGCATCTCGAGGCTAGTTTTATTACCTGGTATTACCTCTCGGGTTCGGGGAGCTCAACTGGTGGCGGATTCGGAAGGTCGTCATTCACTGGATCGGGTCGCTCATCATCCCGTACGACATCTATTTCCTCAATTCGATCGTCAATCCGCAATGGCAAATTCGTGGGTGGCTCGACGGGGTCCAGCAAGTATGGGACCTACGCTTATTCTCCGAGCTATGGAGGTAAGCTTAAGCCATAAGCGTTGCCACAAGCTCCTGAACCAAACCACGAAAATTATGCTTTTCAGGATATTACTACGGAAGCTCTGCGTACCGCACCAACCAAGCAAGAGCTTTGTTCTTTGTCCCGGCGTCCTATTCTTACCGGAATGTGTATGGCGGTGGAATGGTGTATACCAGAAGTGATGCTCATGGAAATAATTCGGACCCAAATTTAATCTGTTAGATGACACGAAGATTCCAAAACGTAAGTGATTCTCTAGGTCTTTCTCACTCTCGCTCTCTCTCTCTCGCTCTATACATTGGTCTTGCTCTCACTTGCGCGTTCCATCTCACTCTCTACCATTGTCTTTCTCTCACTCGCTCCCTCGTATCGCTGTCATTGGCTGTCTATCTCTCTCACTCACTCTATCTCTCTTACACACACTCTTTCTTTCTCTCTCTCGCTCTCTCTCCCACTCACCTTCTCTCGCGCATTCTTGATGACCATGCATATATTTTTATAGCCAGTCGTATCGATATATTGTATTACAACGGATCGCCGAATCAGCTGCCCGAAAGTTACTCACCGACCTTTACGGTATACCGCAATTTACAACCAGATTAAAGATTTCAGATATCATTCCGCTTCTCAGAAAAGGCCGTAGTATTAAATACATTCTCATCGGGCAGCTGGAGATTAGAAGATCGAGCGGAATTTATGCCGATTGATGATTGGCGACTGTACGTCTTGAGACTGGCTTGAGTCGGCTGTTTCAAGCATTAATGACAAGCCCTAGGTTTCAGCTTTGATCTGACGATGAAGCCAGAAAAGGGAAAACTGAAAATCTTCATCAACAATTTCGAATTCGCCACCTATGAGGAGAATCGTCAGCTAAAAAGCAGCACACACTTCGCGATTCAGGGGGATGTTGAGGTAGCGAATCACTTTTTTGGTGTAAAAATCGATTGATTTAGATTTTAAGTGTAAGATCGGACGGGTGATTGATGATTTGAAAATCAATAATCTTGCTAATTTGCCTTTTTTCATCTATTTACGATGTACCAGTTGTATTTGCCCATTGTTTTCGCTCCGCCCATCCCTCAGGTTGTAATAAAATTTCTGAAGCTCATCGAAATACAAAAAAAACAAATCTACTACAATCAATAAAAAATTGGCTCCGAAATTGCCTATTCCAGGTTTAAAGATATTTGAATTTAGCCATCGTGGTCGATTAAGAAATTCCGATGATTTCCGCGATAGGCGACGCATCATTGGGTTGCGTGTCGCGCCGCGATTCGACCTCTAGAATATCCGGGACACCCCGTATATTAGCGACGATTTTTAGCGCTGCTCGCTGCATTCACGGACGTGATCGACTGCCAAGCAGCGGAGGCTCGGGGGGAGTCGATCGAGGGGGAAAATGCCGATCGTAAGTCGAATCGTGTCTCGAAACAACGCCATAGTTAGGTATAACGCCACACACTATTATTTGGGGCGGTTGATCGAGCGGTGGGATTATTTTTGAAGTTTCGGATAAAACGTCTGTCGATTTGTCATTGGTGGTCAGAGAATGTCTTTGTCTCTCTCTACATATCTGTTTCTCTCTCTCTCTCGCTCTCTTTCGCCTGTTTACCATGCAATAAAGCCTCCAAAAAGTCCCGCTTTTCAGAAAAAAAACTTAAACAAAACGCTAAACGAAACCGAGACAAAAGTTATGGAGCTTCACAAATTGCCTAAAACGGTACCTTTACGTGCCTGTAAAACCCCGTGGAATGGAATTCACTAACAACCCAACGCCATTTTTACGAAAACGTGAATTTGTGTTCTATACTACTTTAAGGCCCAAAAAATCATCGTTCACTCGTTCAAAACTTTATTCACCACACGAACACATACAAAAAACGGGGAGGGACCATGAAATTAGCGGAGAAGGAGGTTCACACAAAATCGGGGCTAATCTTTTAGATGGAGGGGATCCATCGGTTGTTCATGATCTCTTTGAGGCGGAAGCGATCGTCTTCGAGCCGAGTATCGTTTGATTGGGCGGGCTGTTTGGTGGTGGCGGTTGTGGTGGTCTGCTTGGTCGTCACCTTCTTAGTGGTCGTCTTCTTAGTGGTCGTCTCCTTGGTGGTCGTCTTTTTCGTAGTTGTACTCGTTCCGCTCGGCGGAATGGCCGTAGAGTTTGAGGCGGCGATGCTGGAGGCGGTTGTCTAAATCGAAGTTTTCAAGTTTGATTTGAGCCTAAACCTATTTGTGAGCCTAAGCCCAAGCGCGAGCCTCAGCCCAAGTTCTAAGCCAAGGCAACGAAACCAACCCTAGTGGCTGAGGTTGTCGTCGTACTGGTTGAAGTTGTGGTAGGTGGCGCTGTTGTATTCATTGGAGCTGAAAAATCGCAGTTCGTTTATCGTGGCAGTTGGTCAGCTACCGATCGACGAAAGCGAGGGTGGCGTGGACGAATTGCTTGGAGGCGTCGTAGAATTCGGTGGGACCGTAGAGTTCGCGGGGAAGAGCGGAACAGTATCTTAACAAAAATTGGTTTGCTTCAATGACTCAGCAATTACCAGTCGCTGACGTCGAATCCGGCTCTGTGGATACGGTGGTGGGGACGCTCTTGGGCGGCAAGGTAACGGAAGTAGAAGCTGAAAATGTTGAAAGATGCGCCAATAGACACATGGTCGGGCCGTCGCAAAACTTACCCAACTTCCAAAAGACGAGCGCAGTGAAGATCGTCACGTAGGCAAGCGCGCCGAAGCGGAACACGTGGTCGACGACCCTAAATTCAAGGCATTTCCGCCTTAGATTCCGTTAATATTCTGATGCTTAGAAAGGCCGAAAATCTACAAAAATGACCGAGCCGTCGAACTGGCGGCGGGCGCCATATGCTGTGGTAGTTGGGGGAATGATAACAAAAAGCTCTTGCCGAGGAATTATGTAAATCATCGTATGTTAACAAATTTTAGCCACTCCTTCACTTTCTCTCACTCTCTCTCTCTCTCTCTCATTTTCGCTATTTCTCACGCACTCTTTCTCTCACTCGCTCTCTCGCTCTCTCTTTCTCTCTCTCACTCTATCTATCTCACTCTCGCGCTGTCTCTCGCTCTCTCGATGTCTCTCTCTTCATCCCTCGGGTTACATTCCCTTAATTTTTCTGCTACGGTGTAAAATCCTCACTTGAATATCAGTAAAAAATGTTAGTTTGTGAATTTTCCAAATCGATTTCGTGTTTATTGAATTTCTGAAAAACATCTTAAATGCAAAATCAGAAAAAAGGAATTGAAGAAGTAGACAATCGATTTATCGCTCCAAGAATCAGTTCCATTTATACAAACAAAAACACGAATAAAGATCGATACAAAACAATTGTCGAGAAAGGAATCTGATGAAAAGAAAGGATCGATTAGTACGTCATTGGCGAGCGGGGATCGAGTCACAACTGGTCCTTCGGCGAGTCCGGCGCGTATCACTGAAAAATGCAAATGTTTTGGAAGGCTCGTGGGTTTTTACCTGGCACTTGTAGGCCGTCTGGAAGGGCTCAAAGAATTTCAAGGCCTGAAATGAAAAGGCTAGAAGAAGATCTAGGTATTGTACCTTGTTGAAATAGTCGTCGTAAAGCTGGGTATTTCTTTCGGCTGCTTTCTTCCTGCCCTCATCACTGTAGCTAGCGCAATATGGCTCAAAATTTTGAGGTTTTCTGAGAGAATGAGACGAGAGAGAGAGAGAGAGTGGGAGCACGAGCGAGAGAAAATGAAAGATGAAAAATCATTCCTGAAAACCCACCTGAACGGCGTTGAGAAATAGAAGCTGATCCAGGTTGTGCCCATATAGCCCTGGCAGGGGCAGCGTCGGGCTCTGCGACACGTTCCGCGCGTTCACATAGGCCTGAAAAATCAACGTTGTTATCATGTTTTCCGCAAAGTTTTAGCAAAATCTTCGAAAACCTACACGATAAACAATCCGAGCCACCGGGTCCAGCTCGCCGGGTAGAGTGAAGTCGCCGATGACTGGAAAAACCCGTGAAAACGACGTCACCTTCATCAATTTCTTGTTTAACGTGGTGTCGAGGCCTACCACTTTTGAATGTCTCGTAGAATCCATCGGCCAATTTCCAACCCAACGAGCCGGCGAGGTGCTCGAGTGGGAGGCTCGGGTCGTGGAGGGCCATCTTGGGGAGAGTCAGCACTGGAAGGTTGAGTTTTTTTAAGAGTTTAAACCCTGCATTCGGAGCTGCAGTTGAGTTTGAAAATTTTAATCCGACAACGGGGGTAGAGAGAGAGAGAGTAAGAGCGAGAGAGGGAGAGCGTGAGTGAGAGCTAGAGAGAGGGCTACCGCCAGAGCGAGAAAATGAATCGCAGAGTGTGAAACGGCAAGAGAGAGAGAGAGAGAGAGAGAGAGAGAGAGAGAGATAGAGAGCGAGAGCGAGAGATGCTAACAGACCGCAACTAATTACATATTGCAACTTACCCAACCCAAATTCGTTGTTATGTGTTGTATCCTGCGACTCGAGAGGGATGAGACGATCGGCCTGAAAAAATTGGTCTTTCGACAGCAAGTAAGTTTTAGCAGCCCTTTAACGCATATCCCTGTCGCTTACCGGTAGATCCTTATCCTTGATATCCTCGTAAAACCGTGTTTTCCATTCGAAGAACGTCTTCGCGTCGTTGGGGAGGCGCTGAGCAACAACACGTTTGCCTCCACAATAAAGAAACCTTCTTATAATGTGTCATCAGCCGGTCCTCAGCCCACGGGTCGTAAGCGCCGAAGAAGATCTTGATCTTGTCGAGCTGCAACAAGCGATCGAATCCCTACTCAGCCATACCTTCTTTAGGAGAATTTCTTTCGTGAACGTTCCGGAATATTTCTCCTGCTCATCAACGAGCTCCTTGAAGGCTTTACGGACATGCTCGAAGATTTGCTGTAAAAAAAAATTCATTTTCTGAAACTCAGTGAATTAAACACTTTGAAAATTCACCTTTTCCCCTGCGAAACCGTCTTTCTGAAGCACGTGTCGCTGGAAGAAGCTGGTGGTCCACAGGCTGAGGCGATTCGCGACAAAATCGTGACATTGTCCATATGCCTGTTTGTAGGGAGGCTCCTGAAAGCGCTGAGATGAGAGAAAGAGAGAGAGAAAGAGAGAGAGAAAGAGAGAGAGAGAGAGAGAACGATCACCTGAAACATGCTTCCTTCCAAGTCCATCACCAACGCGAGAAAGACCAGGTACTCCGCGATGGCTGGTGTTTTTGCGACGAGCTGGTTGAACTAAAAAAAGATTTCATTATGAAACCCTAAAAATCAATCTACCACTAGACGGATGATTTCGATACCTTTTCTATGTCTCCCTCTGGGAACCAAATTTTTGCACCGCTGGCCACCTTCAGCTTCAAAAGCTCGTGGTAGCCGACGAAATCGAGCTGCTGAAAGGAACTGGCTCAGTGTTCTGCCATAAGTAGCATACCGCCTTGACACTTCCCGCCTTAAACGCATCGACGCCCATCTCCTTGCCAACGCTACCGCTGCTGATCTGAAGCAGCATTTTGGTAGAGGTTTTCCGTGCTGACCTTGTTGAACTCGGTGAGGAATTCCAAGAAGGGCTTCCATTTTGGCTCTTCTTTTGCGGGCTTGAGGCCGGGAACCAGGTGGGGCATATTCTAAACAACAATAAAGTGTAATCGAAAATCACCTGATCAAACAGTTCCTCGAGCTTCGGGATGTCGGACCAGCGCTTGGTTAGCGTGATGTTGAACTAAAAATGTCGATAATCGAAGTGGTAGGTTGTGATTCTCGCTCTCTTTTTCTCTCTCACTCTCGCTCACTCTTTCGCTCTCTCTGACTCTCTCTCGCGCCGTCTCTCTTGGTTTTTTCCGGCTCTCACAGTCCAGAATAGCCTTTTTCTTGCTCTCTCGCACGCACTCTCTCTCGCTCTCTCTCTCTCTCTCGCTCTCAGATTTTCACTAGCTTTTTCCGTTCAGTTTAGCCCGTTTCTCTCACGGTCATGCTCTGGCTCCCTCTTCCAATTTCTCTCCCTCTTTCTCACCACAATTTTCAAAACTACCTAAGCTAACACACCCCCAGAATTTCGCGATCGTTGGCGGGATATTGAAGCGAGCGCGGCAGCCCGGAGATGTGGTAGCTCATGTCGAAAAGCAGTGCAGGACCCTGTAGTCCGCGGTTGAACAGCAGGGCTTTCCAGTCCTTCCACTTCGCTTCTGGGCCGCTAAACGGGGGCTGTCCGCTGCCCCACTTCTTCAACCACTCCAGGACGGGCCTGGAAAATTACAAAGTTTAGCTTTGAAGGAAAATTGCGAAACGGTAAGCGAGATGACGTACCCTGTGCCGTCTTTGTATTGGTGCATGCAGAGCTTGTAGAGGTCGAGCGCTAGTCGGTCCGAAGCTGTTATCCCTTTCCATATCGAGCCGTGTTGGAAGAAGACTGGAAAAAGTGGACTCCTCTCTCTGTCTTTGTTGCTCTCTATCGCTCTCTTTTTTCTCTCGCTCACTCGCTTTCTAACTCTCTCTATATCTCTCTCTCTCTCTCTCTCTCTTTATCTCTACGCTTCCATAAGCTACATCATAATATTGACCCGGCACTTTTGAATAACTCACACGCTCTCTCTCTCTCTCATTCTCTCTCCCTATCTCCCTCTATCTCCTCTCTCCCTCTCTCTACCTCTCAACTGGTTCTCTTGCTCCTGTATGGCAGCTTGCAGCCGAGTGAGCTGCAGTGCCTTGAACCGCAACGGGTGGCCCTAAAATTGCTAAAGTTTTGTTTCCATAGTATCCTCGCGGACCTTGATCCACCCTCCGCAGGCGTACTGGTAGAAGTCGGCGCACGGATTCGCCGTATAATCCATGGCAGAGAGCTGAAAACTATTGTAAAATCGACAGGTTTTGACGACCAAAAGTCCGGCACTCTTGGTGCACCCAGCGGTCAGGCACATGGTGGCTGGGCGAGGCGGCAGCGGCGGGTACGGGTCGATAGCGATCTCCTGAAATTTTGAAGTCGAACCCTAAATGGCACGAGTGGCGCGCGGCACGGGACGCGACAAGCAACGTGATACGCACGTGTTGCATGCCGCGGCTCGTTGGCTTATTCAAGACCCACCTCCGAGGTGCCCGAGTTGTCTAGCGGATCCTTGCGTACCGGATCTGTAGCCAGCAACATAAGCGTGATGACTAAAGCGAAATTCAGCTGAATAAAACGCTTCCTACCTATGAACAGTACGCAGACCGTCGCGCAAGTCAACCCCGCCACCACCCAGGCCCATGTTTGGCACCGGGAAACGGCCCTGAAAAAATTTGCATGCGCGCAGGAATTTAAACCGACTTTTCGGAGACCATCGCAAAAAGTAGGATGAGAGGGGAACTCCAAGAAAAGAGAAATTTAAGTGGAGTGAAAAATGCGTTGCATTGCAAAAAATGCTTCTGGTGGATGCAAATTCTGAATTCTCATTTACCTGATGATGACACATAAATTAGCATAATTTGCAATAACTACGAAATTAGGGTTTTCCGAAGGGCAGCAAGTTTCAGGCATTCTTTTCACCCGGCGCCCCAACACTCGGTAAGTTTCAAAATTGTTCAATTTTTCGGCAATTTCAGAATGCGACCCCAGTCCGGCGAGCTGCTCGGCTTCATCGCCCTCTTCCTGGTCACCTGGCTCGGGTTTTTGGTGCTCGACAAAGGTATGTAACGGGACGTTTTTTGGGCTTTAATCGCCCTTTAATCGCTTTAAGTCTGGTCCAGCCAAGGTTTTGAACCGGAAAGACTGATTCTTTCAATTCAGGCGCCAAGCTACCCGAGCTCCCCGACGAGTTCCCGCCCACCCTGCTCCCACCCTTCCCTTCGAAGCCAACGACGTCATCTACCACCGAGTCGACTACCGAGTCGACCACCGAGTCGACCACGCAGTCCACCACGACCGAGACGACGTCCGAAACCACGACTAAGGAGACGACCACGACCGAGTCGACCACCAAGCCGACAACGACCTCTACGCCTCCTCCTCCACACCCACCGAGCACCACCTACCCGCCGAAGCCGCCACCGTCGCCATCTGGCGCCCCGGAACCGCCGAAGCCGCTCGGCTACTGTGTGTCGGAGGGGTGCACCAAGGCGGCCGGGCAGCTGGTAGGGTGAACTGCTTGAAGATGTGCTAATAGAGCTTGCGTGTGACCATAGGAGAATAATAGGAGAACTCCTTAGTTCTGAAAACAAGCAAAAGGTTAGAAACACTCCTAATACACCCCCCGCTAATACACCAGAACCGATCAGCTTTAAGATCAACGCCATCAACGACCTGCACGCGCCGTGCGACGACTTCTACGGGCACTCGTGCGACCGCTGGATCAAGGCAACCCTCCCATTAGTGCATCGAGCCAAAACAATTTTAGGAAAACCCGATCCCATTCGGCAAGTCTGCGTGGGACCGGTTCGCCAAGTTGGGGGATCAGCAGCAGCACGAGTTGAAAGGTGCGGAACTCCAAAGCTTTGCATTATTTCGCCAACTTTCAGAATTCTTCAAAAGCGGCCGCAATTGGTCTTCTCTAACCCGAAGCGACCGGATGGCGCTCGACCTCCACAAGCTGTGCATCTACGCCGAGCGGGATAACACCAAGTGGGTGTGGGGGCAACGTTTATCTGCTTTTTCTGCTTCTTTTTTCAACGTTTTTTTCTGCCAAGTAAGGTGATAGAAAGCATTTTAATATTTTAAAAAATTTAGCTATACTTGAAAGGGGAAAACGTTCTTTTATTTGAAGACTAGTCAAAAACTGTAGAATTAGTGGTTGTCGTGAGATTAACAACAACGTGTCTAAAGAAAAGTAACTCCCCCGATAACGCAAAAGCTCTAAAATCCATAAGGCCGTCTTGCCAGTCCCTTTAAAACCCCGTGATTCCTAGGATCATCCATGGATGGTTCGAGGCCCTCGGCGGCCTCCCCTTCAGCCCAGACACCCAGCGCCCGACCATGCAAAAGTTGATGGAAATGCTCGGGCTAGCCGCCCCATGGACCTACTTCACCATCAAGTACAAGGTGGACGACCACTGGTACGAGCGCCCCATCAACGATCGCCACATCGACGCGGTGAGGGTTTGCATGGTTCCTTTTGGTGGAGCTTTTGCGTTATCCGGGGCAGAGGCGCTTTCTGGACTCACAGAAAAGTTGGGTGCCCCGAATATTGCGAAAGAACCCTTTTTCTTTCATTTTTTTACTCCGGCGCTGGTTGACCGTCTCCAAATTCTCGTTTAGATCAATATCGCCCCATCCGCCTTTGGAACCGACAAGGTCATCGAGCAACTGCCGAAGGTCTTCAAGGAGGTCACCGAATTTCAGCAGCGTGTTAATTTTCCATTTTTAGGACATCCCAATCCTCGCCAAGGAGATTGGCCAAACCGTCGACCCGTCCGACATGACCCTCAAGTTCGACCGGTTCAGAGCCGAGCTGAGCGAGGTTACTTGCCGAAACGGCTTCAAAGGTTGACGCGTGATTCTAGATTTTCGCCGACCCCACGCAACAAAACTTCAGTAGCATGGAACCTCTGAAAAAATGGGCACACCATGTAAACGAAAAATTAAATTATCTAAGCTGGAGATGTTCAGGTCGACTTCCTCGAGTACTTCAAGTCGCTCGGCATGAAGGTGGACCATACCACGACGCTGGAGGCGAATATCAAGGCTTTGGACAAGGTGGGTATCGAGGCCTTTAATGGTCCTTTGATGTGGTCTTCAAAATCTTGGTGCTGTAGTTCTTCGTGATGTTGGACGACCCGGAGAAGAGCCAGATTGCGCGCGAGGTGCAGGTGCTCTACACGTTCCACAAGCTGCAGCCGAGGATCTTTGATGGGGTAAGGGAAGTGAGCCGCTCTCTCTCACCCTCTCTTTCTCTCGCCCTGTCGCCCTCTCTCTCTCTCTCTCTCTCTCTTTCTCCTGCTAAAAAACAACGTTTCAGATCTCACGGTTCGAAGACGTCGACGAGCATTGCCGCAATTTCATCACGAAACAGGCCATGCCGCTGTGGACCCCCGACTTCTTCCGCCGCCACATCCTCAACGACCGCGACTTCGCCGACGAGAGAGTATTTCTCTAGCCTCTCCTCTCCTTAGAGTTTATCCTAGGAACTCATCGAGAACATCCGCGTCAGCCTCAAAGAGGTCATCCAGGAGAACAAGTGGATCGAACCGGCCAGCAAGGAGGGACTTTTGAAAAAGGTGTCCGCTCTAGTGGGTTGACTCAACTTCAACACGTTCAGGTGGACACCCTGAAAGTCTACCTCGGGGCCCCCTACGAACTCTACACCGAGGAGCACGTGTACGCGCACTATAAGAAGGTAGCTTAATCGGAAAGAGAGAGAGAGAGAGAAAGGGGTGGGGAGAGAGAGGCAGAGAGAGACAGAGAGAGAATGCGAGACAGAGAGACAGAGAGAAACCCATGTTCAGCGCCTCCCTCCGTTGCCCTGGCAGCACTATACGTTCTTCGAGTGGCAAGCCATCTACTACCAAGAAACCAAGGGCAGGGAGCTGCGGGTAGGGTTCAAAGGAACAGCAACTGGATCCCCAAACTTTCCAGGCCGACTCGGCCAAGGCTTGTCAGCTGGGCGTCAACGCCTTCAACGACCAGGGCAAGCGTTTGGGTGAGTGCCGCCCTTGAGGACATTTTCAAGCCGTTCAGGTCTCGATCTGGGGCTCCTTGGCTTCCAGGAGGAGAGCTACCCGTTCGTCTTCCGGTACGCCACCCTCGGCTTTTTCCTCGCCCACGAGTTCACGCACACCTTTGATACCAATTGTGGGTCTCGATTATGGTAGCAAATCAAAAAATTTTTTTAGACATTGACGAGAAGCTGCTCACCGGCAACGACAAGGAGGAATTCCACGAGAAGGCCCAATGCCTCGTCGATCAGTTTGGGAATACGGTGGCTGAGGCTGATGGAGCGAGCCTCAAGGTATGGAGCGTCATTATCTCTCCCTCGCTCGCTCTCTCACACTCTCTCTCGCTCTCCCTCTTTCTCTCTTTCTTTCTGTCTCTTCTTTCTCTCTCTCTCTCTCTCTCTCTCTCTCTCTCTTCTCTCTCTCTCTCTCTCTCTCTCTCTCTTCTTTCTCTCTTTCTCTCTCTCTTTCTCTCTCCCTCTTTCTCTCTCTGTTTCTTTGGCTACCTTTCGTTTTCCAGCTCAACGGCAGCGTTGTGATTAACGAGGTTATGTCCGACAACCTCGCCCTCCGTGCCTCCTACCGGGTAAAATTCGGATTATGGAGTCCGAGTTAACCTTTTTTCAGGCGTTCCGCAAAGAGCTAGCCCGCCGCTCCAACGACCACGACAAGTACGCGCTGCCCGGACTCGCCGAGTACACCCCCGACCAGATCTTCTACCTCGCGATGGCCAACGTGGGCCGAAGTCCGACTCCCTTAATGTCCTTAAATTCTAGCCTTGGTGTGGCTCGTACACACAGGAGGGGCTCGAGGCCCGCCAGTATTTGAGTCACCCACCGAATATGGTCCGCATCACCGGGGTATGTGTAATTTTGGATTTTGCCGCCTATGCCTACCTGTTAATAAGTTATAATGTATTATTATAGTGTTTTTAATAGTTTTTGATTGTTGGAAAGTTACAAAACGTACTTACAAAATTTCCGAATTCAGAAATTGTGAGCTTTTTTGGTCGTTTTAGCAGACCTGATCGATTTCGAAAACGGTACAATTCGGATAGGCGGGGGAGAATTTTTAGGCGGGGGAAACCGAACTTTTTTCCGCCCTAGCCTATATTTTTATATAAATAGTGGAAGTTTTTCTAAATTGTTTATAGCTATTCCTAAACAGAAAAACTTTACAAAACTTAATTAAAAAATTTGATTTTAGGCCGAAAAATCAATTTTTTTTCGGCCCAAAAATGACCAAATTTTCGACTTTTTCAAGCGTTTTACTAACTTTTTAAAATGTTTTTCCGATTCAAATAGGCTTAAATTTTGCTAAAAGCAATGTGAAAACACTTTATATTTCATCAAAACCAATTTTTAGTTTTTGCTCTACTTTTATAACAGAAACTTTGAGAAATTCTACAAAAACTGTCGTCTAACAAACCCCTGCCCCCCGCTAAGATTCCAGTACCCATTTTTCTAACATTCAGGGCAGAATTTAGAAAATTAGAAAAAAATTTTTCTAATGATGTTTTTATGCATCAAACCCCCAAAAATGTTCTAGAATTTGTTTAGATCTTTTTATTGGTTAGATTTATGCTTCGAAAATCACTATAAAAACAGACAAACCTCCCCTTTTCAGGCGATCAAGAACTCGGAGGAGTTTGCCAACGCCTTCAAGTGCAAGGTAGCAAAATCACGTTTCTTTCAAACCGAAATTTGCTTCTTCAGATAGACTCGCCGATGAACCCGGCGAAGAAGTGCCGCGTATGGCGCTACAAAAAGCAGTAGACGACGGCCCAGTCTACTAGACGATATCTATCCGCCCCAACATGCTACGACTCGCCGCGACCACCCGCTTCTGATGATGGTGGCACGTCATCAGAATGATCAGACTGCACCCCCAACCCATCTCGTATACCCCCCCCCATACTGCAGCCATTTTTCTCTTTGTGCTCTTGCCATGGCCCCGTTCTGATAAACTGCATTTTTGGGAGTTGATTGGTGGTTTGCATCTGATTATTTGCGCAAGAAAAATGATGTTATGAAACTGCAACGCCGACTTCAAGGCGTTCAGAGGACACAGGTGTTTTGCGCCTTCGGACCCGAAAGTATCTCTCTATTTCTCTCTCCCTTTCTCCCCCTCTAAATCATTCTTGCTCTCGCTCTCATTCTAGCGGTCTTTCTCTCTTTCTCTCACCCTCCCTCCCTCTCTCTCTGTCTCTCTCTCTCTCTCTCTCTCTCTCTCTCTCTCTCTCTCTCTCTGGCTATCACAGTCTCACTCTCTACTTCCTCTCACTATCTCTGTCTCTCTTCACTCTTTCTCTCTCTCTCGCTCTCTCTCACTAAATCTGAGCCACAAATATTTATCGCCGAAAACAGGTATCATGTAGACAAAGAATGGAATCGATAGGTTTTGTACGGGGGAATAGGATGGCATCTGGAGAGGTCGTCGGTCGATCGAGATCGTCCTTGTCGACGACGTTGAGCTGCATCGCCATCTAGTGCTTCTTGTAGCGCCACACGCGGCACTTCTTCTCCGGGTTCATCGGTGCGTTTTTCTGAAAAAAAGCACTTGTACTCAAAACTTCCGAGAAGCTCACCTTGCACTTGAACGCGTTGGCAAACTCCGCCGAGTTTTTCATCGCCTGGAAGGATGGATTTTGAAAGTCTATAAATTTGAGGCAACGAAAAGATTCAATGCTAGCTTGCCCTTTGTATAAAGGCTCGAAGAAGGTCCCCAAAAGTCAAACTACCGTGCTGATGCGGCTCTTGTGCGGCGGGTGGATTTGCTGAGCGGCTTCAGCAAGTCCGGCCGGGGTGTAGGAGCCGCAAAAAGTCTGGAAAAATGAAGATAGACAAGTTACCGTAGGTCAGCTGCAGAATACTTAAAGTTTGCCCACATTAGCCAACGACAGGAAGAACAGCTGGTCGGTGGTGTACTGCTCGAGGCCGGGGAGGCGGAAGGCGTCGCCCTCTCGGCCGTAGCGACGGTTTAGCTCCTTTCGGAAGGCCTAAACCAGATAAAAAAAATAAAGGGAAGCTAAGACTCTACCCTAAACGACGTCCTGACGGCCATGTTGTCCGACATCGTCTCCGGGATCGAGGTCTCGCCTGCTTCCTTTGAAAAACGTTTTTAAAGGTAGAGCAACACCAATTACCGTAACTGTCTCTCCTGACTCGTCGGCGTGGGTGATATTCTTGAACTGCTCGACGATGCAGTGCGTCTTCTCATCGAACTCAGCGCGGTCGTTGCCGGCAAACACGGTCCCGTTGCCTTTCCATTCGATATCTAGAGCATTTATCTCTGTTTTTGGGAAAGTGGGTTTGCCAATCAACAATCCTATGATTTTTAAGCATTTTTGTAACGTTTGCCGCTCAAAAACTGCCGAAAACACGATAAAGATCCATGATGTATTTTGAATATACGCAAAAAAAATCAAAATTAGAATCACCCGCTCAAAATGCGGCCCCCCCCCCCCCGCTATCAGTCAAGAGCCCCCAAAATTCTCAAAACCAACTCGTATCAAACGTGTGCGTCATCTCGTGCCCAATCGTAAATCCGAGCTGCGCATACTGGTACTCGAGCGCGTAGTCGTCGCTGTGGAACCCGAGGTAGCCGAGTGGGATCCCTAGAATTTGAATATTTTCACGATTTCCCATCAAATGCTTACATGCATACAGCTTCCGGCTGTACGCGTCGACGTCTAGCTGTAGTTTGTAGCGGGAGTCGGACTAAACAAATCGGCTTTAAGGGGAGGGTGACACAAGACTCCTACCAACAACTCCTTGCCGGCCACGTCCTGGTAGAACCTGCTCTTCCAGTCGAAGAAGTTGGTCGCGTCCATCGGGAGGCGCTAAAAAGTCATTATGTTCTCACTTTTTTTTTAAATTTCAGGTAACCTTGTTGTAGTGCGCCATCAGCTTCTCCTCGCTGTAGGCCTCGTAGAAGGCGCCGAGGTAGAGGTCGAGTTTTTCGAGCTGGAGGAATGGAATTTCCGGTTGATCTATATTTCTACCATGCTCAAAATTTTCTCCTTGGTGGCCGGCTCGAGCCAGTCGTCCTCGTTGAGCGTCTCCTTGAAGGCGGCGCGCATGTTTTCGACGATAGCCTGAAAGGGAACGGATAGGTAAGAGTTTACCTTGCCACTAGCCTGGCTAGAGCCAGAAGGTTTTGAAGGTTATAATTGTTTTTGCTATAACTATTGTGTCTTGCAATCTTTTGAGCTGCCATAAAAACCCTTACTATATTTTTTGATTCTTTATCGAACAGAAAATCACGAAAAAATAACGTAAAGATTGAAAAGTTTGGGACCCTCGGGCTGGGGGGAGGGGTAAAGTAAACCGTAGCCCAAGTCCCTTTACAAAGACGCATGTAAAGTACCTTCTCGTTGTCGAAATCCGGGTTCTGAAGGATGTGACGTCGGTAGAAGCTGACGGTCCACAGGGGCATCGCCTCCTCAGTGACGAACTGGTGGCATTCTCGGATCGTGTCTTCCGTCACATACCTCCGCCTCTGTTGATGCATTAATGAGTTCATTTCGATGGAAATAGGGCTCATAGCAGCCGCACTACCATTCCGTGCTGGTTCTCCAGGAAAATCATGTAGACCAGCGCCTCACCGGCAAATTCAGATTTTGCGCCGTCATCGAGCAGTTGGGCAAACTTAAAGGGTTCTGGTCTGTTAGCGTGCGGGGAAGGGATAGCGGCGGAGCCAAATCTTTCTCTTTGGTTCTTAAAAACCCTCTAACAAGCCAAACCCCTGCAAAATCCCCCGGCTAACAGTCCAGTACCACTTAAAGTATACATCATTATCCTACTATATATAAAAAAATAGTGTCTGTGTGTGTGTGTGTGCCACTTTGCATGCAACTTCCGTCAGGTTGTTCCAGTCATATCTCAAGAGGGAAATTAGTTACGGGCATGTTTGATACATCATTATGAGCGTAATGGTCTGGAGATTACTGCACGCATATTAGATTTATCAAAATAGGCTATTTTCTACATTAAATTTTAGTTTTTGTTGAAAAATCCGAGACCCTCTTTGTTAGGAATCAATTAGCATACACCGGAAGTGCGGGCAGCCTATATAAAGCAGCAGAGAGCGCATTTTTCACTTTTTTTCAATATGGGTCGGGCCGAATTATGCAAAGTACAAACTTTCATTGGTCCAAAACGGGGCCAGGGTTGAAAAGTCGCGAAGCGGCTTTTCAACCCTGGTCTAAATCGTTAATTTGCTTAACCGAAGAATTAATTATCTTTTTTGCCTTTTAAGTGCCTTGCTACTATTAAATGAAATAATTGCTCAAAAATTAAAATATATAATTAAAAAATGAAAATCAGGAATTTTACTGTTAAATGACAGCAACTTTTTTACGTTTAAGGCCCCAAAAAGACGTTTTAATTCCCAAAATTGCACAATTTTACTCGGCAAATTCCAATGATTTTTAAGTCGATAATGCTAATTTTTTTAAGAACTCAATTTAAAGGATCTAAAAACAAAATCTTGAAACTTTCTACCTTATCAAACGCCTCCTGCGCCACCGAAATCGTCGTGTTTGGCCCGATTTGCACACCGATCGCCGCGAAATAAGCAGCAAAATCAAACTGAAAATTTGCGCTTTTCGATGCGACACCAAATTACGTGGCGCTCCCATCTTTTGAGTCCTTCCGCTTGAATCGTGACAGTCGTTGGGTTGGCGAAACACTGAAAAAGTTATGTAAAAAATCGGAATTAGCATTTCCAAGCCGATCGGCTCTGATTCGTTAACGCGGGGGAGGGTATAGAGGGAAGGGGACAGCCACGCTTTTTCCCTCTTCATCCCCCCCCCCCGCTGTTGAACCAGACCTATCGATAAAATATCCCAAAAATAACTACCTTTTGTATCTCCTCCTGAATATGCAGCCAATTGTTCCACATGGTGCCGACGTCCAACGCTCGATTTTTCGCGATGTACAGGCGGGGAATTTCCTAGTGGGGGCTTGGGTTGTAAAGCTTGCAGTGTTCCAGCCCCCCACATTCATCCATTTTTGGGGGATGCGCTTGGCCGACTCCCTCGTTGTCCTGCCAGACCAAGTTGGGTGTGATGACGATCTGGAAAGCTAATCCTTTGCTTTGGTATCTAAAGTTTTTAATGGTACTAGAGAAATGCTTCTACATCTGTTTTTACTATTGCCAAAAACAAAACCGCCAAAGGAAATTATTCTGATGGAAAGAAATGGCAGATTTTCGATCAAAAACTTCGATTTCGACAATTCTTATAGTTTGTAAATAATCTCCAATGGGAACTATGGTTAAATCTGTTAAAAAACGTCCTTAAAATGCTTCCGTTAAAAAATTGTATAATGCCCATTTACCGCCTCCATGACGCGATCGGTGGCCGGTCCGGGCGTGACCTCCTTCGGCATCCCTTCAATCGTGTAGGTGATGTTGAAGAACGGGATGGGGCCTTGTAGCCCGTAGCGAACCATCAACTTCTGCAGGGAATCGCGTACGCCGTAGCGCTTATCGAGTAGAAACGGGTATCCGCCACTATTTCGGAGCCATTGATCGAGGGGCCTGGAATTTGACGTAGTTTCGGTACCGGATTTTTAGCGGGGGGCAATACTAATTTTTCCGAGTAATCCTGCACCGGGCCTATAAAAAGAAACGATTTTTATAGTATTTTACGGAGCTTTTATATCTACAAAACTCATAAAAAACGGCACACAAATGTAGGAAAAATGTCCAAAAAGGCAAATTTTGGAATATTACTGAAACTATAAAATTAAAAACTACGAGAACGTTATAAAAACATGTTTTTTATTATTAACCATTAAGTATACGTGAAAAAGCAAAAAAAACATATTTTTCCGCCGAAACCCCCCCGCTAACAGTCCAGTACCAAATTTTCTGGAGAGTTGATTTAAAGAGACTATCAAGGCATTACTATGGATTAATGTGGCACGCATGCACTCAAGGCCGTAGTTTAACTGGATTAATTTACGCTTTAACTTAATTTAGCTACATTTTTTAACCCAGCACAACCCACCACTGATTCGCCTCTGTTTCCATGCACATTTTATAGACGTTGAACGCCGCCCGGTCCAGCTCGGTCAGGTTGCTGTAGAAGCTCTCTTCCTTGAAAATGTCTGGGATTTCGTTGGGTTCTGAGAAACGCAAAATCGCTGACTCATGTATTGATGCTTCAGCGCGTCGTCCAGCTCGATGTACCGATCGTAGTGGTCCAAATCGGGCGGGATTGGGTGCTCCTGGAAAAAGCAGAACTTTCAATATAACAAATATTCGATACTCTGATCCACCGTCCACAGGCGTGCTCGTAGAAGTCGTCGCACGGGTCTGTCGTCTTGGAGATGGAGTTGATCTGAAAATAACGATAGAAATAGGTTGATATATGGCCTATTAATGAGACTTTCACCAGCTGAACGTCTTGAAGTTGAGCATATCAGGTTTCCTGTCTGGTCCCCTACCAAAAGCGCGGCCGTTCGAGTACAGCCCCTCGTCGTGCAAACTTCTGGGACCAGCGGCTTCAGCGTGGTGGTGGTGGTAGTAGTTGACGTCGTTGTAGTTGTCGTGGTGGTAGTTGTAGTTGGTGTTGTCGTGGTGGTAGTTGTAGTTGGTGTTGTCGTAGTCGTTGTAGTTGACTTTGCGGTCGTGGTGGTCGATTCGGTGGTCGAACCGTTAGTAGTAGATGCCGTCGGTGGCGCCGTTGAACTGCTTGCAGTCGTCGTCTCCAGGATAGCCGCCGTCGTATTCGTCGTTTCTTCCGTTGCAGGCGTAGTTCCGAGCGTCGTCGAGCTCTGCTGAACCGGAAGCTCGGGACGAATGGAGCCTGAAATGGAGGGGAATGAGGCTTAGCTATCACTACGCCTATTACTAAAAATAACTTAATAAAATAAAATTGTTTCCGAACCGGATAACCGGCGGAAATGTCGAACAAGTATTTTTGAGAATCCTTCAAATTGCCTTACCCAACTTCCAGAGCACCAGCAACATGAAGAGGGTCACGGCCGCCAGGGCACCATAGCGGAAAACGTTGTCAATTTTACTAAATTTGTGTAAGGACAGGTTTTTAGTAGATCTTCAAGAAATTCGACAAAATTGGCATATTCAATCCTCACGCTTCGCGGATGCCGAAAGGGAGGCCATCGGGGCAGGGGTTGGCGAGTAAAATGGCTAGCATCTAAACAAATTTCTTCTGTTTTTGTTAATTATGCTAATTTAGTTTTTATGGATATGCATATAAAAGTGCATAAAATTCCATCTGTCAAGATGCCTCACTTTGACTTCCCTGTGGCTTTAAAAAGCCAGTCGTTTTCCAGAGCTACATTTTCCATACGTTGCCTAATTACATTGGGAAAAATTCTGAACCAACCATGTGCCGCATTAATTCCAGACTTGCTTGACGTCATCAACTTTTCACGCCTTCTTCTGTCCCGGTTTTCTCATTCCCACTTTTTCGACGATTCATGCAAAACTGTATGAACACTTTCTTGCTTTTGCTATTCTATGGGTTTGCCGTTGTGGCCACAATTCGACATCCAAGCCCGCGCGGCACCTCTCCGCCTCGTCGGGAAGATGACGTCGACCGTGAGAATTCTTGCGAAAGTTGATTATTATTTAGCCGAACCCGGGAGGAGCGACTCGGAATCTGGTGGCAGTATTGGTACGTGGATGGCACATTAATGGTAGTACTTGTCGGGCGTGCCTGCAAGCTAGAACCCTCTCGTTTTCGAGTGCTTCCGTTTATCATACTACCGAGGCTTTAGAACCAATTCGTGTGACTCGCTAATCTCTCTAAACCAGTCTAGGTGGCCGTCGCGTGTTTAGCCCGGGCAGCTCGGGCCCGTTGAGCTCGGTGCAGTTGAGCCCATACTTGAGCAGTGAAGAGTCTGATTCGGATCCGGAGCGACCTCCAAGACGAAGGGTATACTTTTACTGTCCGGTAATTAGGAATCTGGAATCCGGAGCCGATCGAGCAAAAGGTTGCGATTTCAGGGTTATTGGCCGCCACGTGACGTCTACCCTGAAGATATCGCTTACCTAGCAGAGCCCGTCGGGCACGAGATTGTAAGGCTTCCAGCCGCCATTACGCTTCGTTTTTCAATACCCTTAGTACGAGGAAGAACGTCGAAATCGTCCTCAGCCCCGATACGAGCCTGATCCAGATCAACCCGGGCCTTCTGGCCTTCAGCAGGTCGTTTAATTTTTGATTTATCGTTAAAAAAATTACCAAAAAATGAAATTTAGTCAGGACCCAGCAATTCTGGCGGTCGTCCTAGTCGTCCGCCTCCTGGGAAGGCTGTTACATCGTTCCCGCGACTGAGAGGTAAGTTGCGTAGTAAGGAAAAAACGGTATGCGCTGCGCCACCCCTTCCCAAAACTGAAGGGTGTCCCAAAACAATCCCCTCGGCATTTGGCCGTCTTCTAGCGGAGCGGGACCAAACTTTTAACAGCGATGTGGGTCCATAAAAACTATATGCAGCCGAGATTTCTAAGCAAAATATTGTAAAACAAAAACGTTTTTGCTAAAAGTCGGCTTTTTGGGAAAAGCTGGTACTCATTTTTGGCTATGTTTTCGCGAGTAGCATGCCGATTTTGAGTAATTTTCCGAAAAATGGTCAATTTCGGGTCGGTTCCTACCAATTTTAATAATTAAAAGTGATAAAAAGTCCCAATTTAGACGCCATTTTCGTAAAGTAAAAAATTCTCCGTGTGGAAAAATGTGCCCTTTCCATTTTTTCTGAACAATGCGAGGTCAAAATCTGTCAAAATCACGGTAAAAGCGGCAAAATAAACCCTAATTTCGATTTAACTTTTTGTGGTTTACAATCTTTTGCTTAGAAAATTCGGCTGCGCATAGCTTTTTATGGGTCCTGGCTATTTACAAACCCTTAGCGCTGTTCTAAAGGTGTCCGCAAGGAAAGCGCCAGCCGCTGTCCCTTGAGCCAGTATAGAAAAAAGCCTTTTTCACTTCTATTTCCAGATATTCATCAGAAAAAACCGAGCGAATACTACAAGGAGCTACTGGACCGTGGATACAAACGTAAACACGTGTAGACAAATTTGTTCAGGCTTTCGAAAAACCGATAAATTGCCTTCGTAAAAACGAAAACATTTTAGCTCCACCCCGAAGACAACCTGCACCCCGCCAATTTGCGTGCAAGTGGTTTTGAACTCTTGGCTTTTTCAGGCTTTATCTGTCTAAAATGTAGTAATTTAGTCAACGAAAACCCCAAGCAAAATGCCCTTATTCTGAAGGAAAACCTGGAGCGACGTTAGTTTTTTAATGTGGATCCCTAACTGTCAATTTCTAGAAGGGGTCCGCGCTCCAGCCTCAGTTCGTGCTCAATCAGACGGAATTGGAGGCGGGCCGGCGGGTTGGTTTTGGCTTAAAGATGCCTTGATCCTCACTTTTGGGGCACCCTGTATCACTAACGGGCTGCGGTATCCGTGCGTCTGTGTGAGCCGAGTTCAACACGAAGGTCAACAGGTCTCACCGGATTCGGATAGAGCGCGGTCAGAAACCCTAAAACCGATCGCAAACAGAATCTAAAAACTTCCTTTTCATCCCGAAAAGAATCGATTTTTGTGATTTGGTTGTGAACACGGCTATTTGCACGATTTTGGGCATACTGGGCCAGGTCGCGCGCGTTTCGGCGCGGGGGAGGGAGCGTAGGGGGTAGCCCGAAGCCCAGCCACTGCCTCATAGATGAAACTTCCAGGAAGAATACTTTCTGAACTTCCGGTCCAGGCCCAATGGGAATTGTTCCAAGAACGCCTCCTCGCCGAGCAGCAGAGACGGCCGGTCAACTACCAACGGCTGGCGCATCTGAAATTAACACCACGACAGGTAGTTTTCTCATTTACAAAACTGGCTAGTAATCGCTTTTAAGACAGCACGGACTTTTAAGACAGACTTACACCAATTATATTCTCTGCTTTTAGATTGAGGCCAACAATGCCCTGGTCGCCGGGGTCGTGCAGAAAAAGTTTGGCTTCCGTTCCTAGCAAGAAAAAAAAATTATTTTAGGACTGAAACAAAGAAAAAAGTCGCCAAGAGGGTTCGAGGTAACTTCTACTTAATGTTTTATAATTTTTGCGTAGGCCCAACGATTATCGGGCCATTGCCGAAGAAGCCTTGGCGCGATTTTACTCCACCGCCACCGCCTGGAGGTAGTTTCCTATTTTCGCCCTTAAAAATTTTTTTCAATTTTCGTCGTAAGTTGCCCTTGAAAAATCAACCAAAAAAAAAAAGAAAATTGAGTTAGGTGGTGCCTCGGCATGTAAAGTCGGCCGTAAGAAGCGCGCAATCGGATCTGGGTCTTCGAATTTTGGGTGCAATCTTCAAGTAAAAGATATCAACGGAATACCCAAGGATACCAGGGTAAGTTTAGTGTGCCTTAATCAATTTTCAGGTTTTTTATTCATTTTAACATTTTATTTATCTTTATGATTTGTGCAATAAAACGTTTGATGTTTGCGTCAGTTCCAAGCTTCATCCGATTTCATATGATTGCGCTCTAGTAATGCGGCGTCGTTGTCGTGCAGGCCGGCTTTTTGGGCGTTTTCAAGTCGGCGAACCCGATGCGCCGGTTGCCGTAGTCGAACACGGTGTACATCTTCCGCATGAAGATGTCCCCAAAGAGGCTGAACCAGGGCATTCCGCTCTGGCGGCTGCCCTGGATACCGAGCATGCAGGTGCCGGAGCTCTGAAAACGAAGTTAAAATTGTAGAGTTATAGTTAAAATTATTGGAGTTAACATTAAAGTATAAGGTTAAAATTGTAGAAATATAAGGTTTAAATCAGTGTTTAATAGTCGAACACCAGGCGCAACAATGTGACCACGCCATCCGCCTTTTGTAGACACATTAAAATCAGGTAAAAGCTGCCTTACTAAAACCAAAACCTTACCGATAGCTCGCGACTGTAGTCAGCCCCGGTCATCTTGATCTCGCGGCCGCCCAGGTAGATCGAGATCACCGGCAAATTGGTGGCGTTGGCGCACGGGTAGGGTTCAACGGGTAGGTCCAACTAGAAATATACATGTGAGGGGGTATAAAATTTTAAAGGGATGCCAACGGCATAGTCAATCGGTTACGCGCGGAAAAGAAAATGTCTCTGCGCCTCTCCCCTTGGCGCGCTCTCTCCCCTGTTGGCTACTTGCCAATTTGTTGATGAGGGGGGATCGACACATGCCGTCGGCAGCCCTTTAAGGCAGGCAACCCAGGCAGAGCAACTACAGCGCGCCGCTCGAACCCTTGAACTTACACTCTCCAGGACCGCATCCGGCACATACATAATCGTCGAGCCGCTGTCGATGTACGTTAGCTCTCCCGGGAACTTAATTTGGCTAGTCACAGCCACTTAAAGCTATTCCACCTCTTTGCCATTGGCCATGAACTTGTCGGGCATCACCATCCAAGCCCTGTCTTTTTGAGAGGGATCGACTGGTACCCATGTGATTCCACCCTAAAAATACGATTTTAGGCAGGATTAATTGATATTAATTGTTTATATATATTATTGTCCAGCTGGAGAATCACCTCATAGTGTTCGGGATCCGCTTCGCAGAACGTGATCTCACCGGCGCCTTTTCCATCCTTATCAAGCGTGGTGTTCATGTAGAAGGAGAAGATGGGCTCCGGGCAGTTTTCCTAGACTTGAGGCATGTCCGAATAGCTCATGCTCACTTTATCCTCGAAAATACTGTGCAACGCCGACTCGGGCATTCCCTGGATGTCGAGGCCGAAGATTGCGGGCATTTTCTGAAAATTAATTTGGTTTTCAGGAACTGAGCAATCAAAAAATTCACGATTACGACCTCGCTTTACCTGGTTCCACATTCCCTTCATTCGGTCGGCGCATCCAATCGCTACCGGCGATTTTGTGCGATAGCCGGCGATCTAGAAATTATTTAAAAATTTCAAAAACCAATTGCCATCAAGATACATTTTGCTACAACCTACACACAAATGGTCATGAATCAAGTGCCCTTGTACCAAGTCGCCGTCTTGGTATCTTATTCCAAATTCCACGTCCGTCCTGTTGCACGTGGATGACGCCGAGCAGTCGAACTTAATTCATTGTATGCTTTGCAACTGTGAAGTTTGCAACATACCTTGCCTATTTCCGGCTTGACGCAACTGTCCTGTGTACACGTGCTGCATGCCTGCCACGTCCGGTTGGAGCCGGTGTCGAAGTCTGTGTAGAATCTCTGCGGCGGCGTGCCGATGTCGATGAACCCGTAGTAGGATTGCTGGGAAAAGGTAATAGCGGGAATTATTAGGGGTATTCGACCACCGCGACACGCAACGCGCGCTCCCAGTTTCCACTACTTACTAAACGAACATAAGCACGCATGTAGTTTTCGCAGGAGATACGTTTCGCGCGCGTCGCGTGTCGCGATTGCGGTTCACAATGGACCCATGGTCATCCAGACCCATATACCTGCCTTAGCCCTATCTTTCATATTTATCCTACTCACCAGATTCTCTGTATATAGCGGCTCATCGGGGACCAACCCTGCCTTTGCATAGCGACGAGTCGGACGAGCTACCCTTGTTAGTGGCACCCTAAATTCGCGAAACTCCAAGAAATAACGTTTTGAACCTTACCGTATAATACCTTCGACAGCAAGTGCCAATATCATGATGACCAAAGGGACGCGCATCCCGCCGATAATGATCAGTCTTCATCATTGGCCTGTTTTATAGATCTTTACTGAAAAGCCTGTTCAGCGATGATTGATAATTCCTTTCAAAACGTTTTGGCAGTTGCTGAATAGAAACTTTTTGAAGCAAATGGAAGGGCCTAAAGGCTCTGCAAGCTTGAATATAGAATTGGATTGATGCGATTTTTCGGGGCGTGGGTGGGCCAGTGATGATTTTAGATAATGACTAAGTGTTTGATTGGTCGCTGGCTTGAGAAACAAGATTGTCCAGGTTGAAGTCTTCACTGAAATGGACGGTTACATGTAGCTATGAATTAGGTTGGCTAAAGCGGAGCTTACAAACCGAGCGTTTCAAAATCCATAGTCGTAGTTTCTAGTGATAGCTCGTCTAGTTCCAGGATGCCTTCATCTTACCATCGAGTTCGACTTGAAATTGGTGAGCTTATAGAGTTGAGCTTGCGATTCAGATGCGCTAAAGAACTCCTAACAAATCGTCCATAGGCGGCTGAGATGATAACAGTTTAATTTTGGCAAAAATGCACGATTTATGCGCGCGTCTCCGCTGCGGCCGGGCGCGCGGAGAAGAGGCCTCTGGCACCCCTCCGGCATGGCAGCGTGGCCTCGAGGGTAGAGCTCGCTTCAAAAACTTTTGGTCGGGGGTTCAATTCCGGCCACCAACTTTTTTGAAAAACTTTTAAAGCTTTTGCCAAACTTTTGCGATTGTTTTACGATGCTGTAGCGAAGGATGAAGAAACACAGGAAAAGCTCTGGAGCATTTCTATGAACAGAGCAAGTCATTTTATCAGATTCGAGAATCTTCACAGCCCGCCATCTTTGATTCCGCCAGAGAATACAAAATAATAATGCAGGCAAAAAATTTGGCAAAAGCTTTAAAAAGTTTTTTCAAAAAAGTTGGTGGCCGGAATTGAACCCCGACCAAAAGTTTTTGGAAGAGAAAGCTCTACCTCGAGGCCACGCTGCCATGCCGGGAGGGGTGCCAGAGAGGCTCTCTTCTCCCGCACGCCCCGTTCGGGGGGCGGCGGGACGACGCGCGCAAAAATCATGCATTTTTGCCAAAATTAAACTTGTTATATCTCAGCCGCCTATGGACGATTTGTTAAAATTTTTAGCGCATCGGAATCGCAAGCTCAAACTCTATAAGCTCACCAATTTTCAAGTCGAAACTCGATGGTAAGTTGGAAGGCATCCCTAGTTACTCGCCCTGTAAAACGAGCAACGCGTCTGACTTACTGAATTTTGGCTCGGTAGTGTTTATCATTCCATTAAAGGGATAACGACGGCATCAGTATTCGGTGACGCGAGGGAAAGAAAATTTCTCTGCGTCTCGTCCTTGCGCACGTTCTCTGCCCTGTTGGCTACGTTCCAAAAAGTCGATCAGGGGTGATCGACCGATGCCGTCGGTATCCCTTTAATGCGAAAAGAAGTTTGTCTGGTATAAAAATTCTTCGTTATTAATAAAGTCGTCGTTTGGTGCGATATCTTTGTGCGTCCACAACTTTACTCAACCGGTAATAATACACAGACAATTTGCATTTAGTCTGAATTTCAAAATCGAAGATGCTGGTGCAGCAACGAATTTATTAGCGTTGACTTCCCGTAGTAGCTGAATTGATATGGCAGGCTGACTGGTCGAGACTCGCTCAGCTTTTTCATATACTAAAAATAAGACACTGGTTTAGTTGTGTTTGATACCTGTTTCGCCTTATCGATATCCTCGAAAAAGATGAAGCCAATGATGCCCGGGTCGGTTTGCAAACGCTCCGTCCGCGGTCTGCAAGAATATAGGAAAATTTTGGTTTTCGCAGGCTTAGGCCAAGCTTAGGCCTAGTTTAGGCATAGTTAGGCAGGCGAGAGTTAACTGGCTTACCTCCCATTTTTCATCTCAAATCCTGGCTCCAAGCCTGGGTCGATGACTAGCAATTTGGCGTCGGGGACTTCTTCTGGCAACCATGTTACGCACAAAATTCGTCGATTCGTGCCCTAACAAGGGAAGGTTGTTTGGGTCAGGTGTCAAATCGACTTGAAACTTTGCCAGTGGATAGAAAATCAAAAATAAAGTGGAGTTTCTTAATCTCATTTTTTGCACAATACCCCAAATTAAAAAGTTATAGGTCTTTGAAGTTACGTAAAAAAGCACGAAACTACCCCACAATTTTGATCTGGTCCTCATTGTGGCCTGCCCCCTTTTCAAGCTCTTGCGTCGCCCGGACTGGCAAGCTGTTTGGCGCAGTAGGTAGTGCCGTAGAGTGCAAAACTTTTTAAATTTTTGTAATCGAGTTCAAGTCTTTGCTGCGTCGAACTTTTTGCTTTTTGGATTTTACGCCAACTAACCCTAATTTGCAAGAGCAAAAAGCAAAAAGCAAAAAGATAGAAAAGTTGTAGTCTCGAACTTTTGCCAAAAATTTTTCAAAAGATTGTGAGTCAACCGCACTACCGATTGCGCTAGAACAGACGTGGGGAGCGGAGACGAGAGAGGGTCAAGAAATCACGCATGAAGAAAATGTGGAAACGGTGCGGTATTGGTGCAAAAGCCTGCGCAGAACTCATTTTTCAGACCACAAACTTAAAATGCTTATAACTTTTTAATTAGGGGTATTGTGCAGAAAACGACTTAGCGCACCTTGTTCCGTTTTCAATTTCCTATCCACTGGCCAATTTTCAGAAAGATTTGACACCTGACCCAAACAACCTTCCCTTGTAAGCAAATTACGTAAAACAACGTTTCAGCCACATTTAGGTTATTTGACGGGTCGGGCAGTCCCAAGGTCGACGCTTCCTAAATTGAGACAATTTTCAGATAGGAATAAGTACTATTGGCTGCTTTGGTGGTGCCAAGGCGTTCGGCAATCAGATCTTCCGACTGTACTTCCGATTTCTTTAACTCATACAATGAACTTTGCTAAAATTTCCCATGAATTATTCGGAAAAACTTCACTGATTGATTTGCCGCTTCCGAAGATCTGACTGGCTTCTTGGTACATGCCGAATAAGTGACTTTGATTCTTTGTCCGCCTTCCTCGATTCCATTCCATTTTTTGTAGATCTAGGAAATATCACATGCATCGATTAAAGTACCACTTCAGCAGCTTGGACACTATCCAAATAGGCCACGCATCGCTGAACATCTTCGCCGTGAAGGCGCAACATCATATCCGGGCTATAAAGACAAAAGTCACTCACTAATTCTTTCTCTCTCTCTCTCCCTCTCTCTCTCTCTTTCTCTCTGTCTCTCTCTGGTCTCTCACCCCCTCTCACTCTCGCGTTCTCTTTCTATTTCGTTCTCTCGTTCTCTATATTTCTCCTTCCCTTTCTCTCTCTCCCTTTCTCGCTCTCTTTCTCCCTCTCGCCTCTCATCCCCTCTCTCTCACGTCCTCTTTCTATCTCGTTCTCTCTCTCCCTCCCTCTCTCTCGCTCTTACTAATCCCACGCTCCCTGAGGTTACAATGGCCTGCCAACCTCTCATCCCAATAAATTAGATGCTCGCCCTTTGACAAAATTTGCTCAATCACTTCTTCATGACCGTAACACATTGGAATATTTTCGATAATGATTTTTGTCCGATTATACTAAAAAATGGTATCAACATGGAAATGCCGACAAATACCATCTGCTCCGACAGCTTCTTAATTTCCGCTTTTGATTGCTGAAGCTGTTGTCTTGCTTCGGCGGTTGAGACTTTGAATTTTTCAACCTACTGTAAGTTCTAAATGGAACTTAACTCGTTATTTTTACCTCAACAGCCATCAGTTGTTGTTGTGTCGCGCTGCGCTTCTTTTCGTCTTCCTGAAAACTCAAGCGTCATGTTGAACACCAGATTTCTTACGAGGAGCTTGGTCAATTGCGGTACAGTCTTATGCTTCAAGACGTCCAGTGATGATTTCAGGTGTTTTATCTATGCAATGGCATTACAACCAAGATTTCCAGTTTTGAATTTTAGCAGATTAGAATAGTAAACCTACGTCTTTCTGGTAGTTCTGCCTTTCTTGGTTCCATTTAAAGCCGGAATCCACCTAAAGTTCGCCCTGTAGCAAAGATCGAGAATGTTAAAGAGAGAGAGAGAGAGAGAGAGAGAGAGAGAGAGAGAAATATTTAGAGAGATAGGGACAGAGGGAGAGAGAGAGGGAGAGAGAGAGAGAGAGAGAGAGAGAGAGAGAGAGAGAGAGAGGGGTTCAGAGACGCGAGAGCGAGAGAGAGACGAGGGGGCGAGAGAGCGAGAAAGAAACAAAAAGTGAAACAGAGACAGGCAGACAGACAGCGAGACAAAACATGATCGTCGCGCACCATAGCTTTTTGTTGCTGATTTATCTTGTTATTCAACTCGGCAAAATCTTGCTTGAACTAAATATATTTCTGGTATTTTAAAGGCGCCTCCATAGCCTCACTCTATTCCATGTTTCCAGCGAGACCGTTGTGCTCTGGAATCACGGATGTTCGGACAAAAAGAATCCCTGACCTGCACCTTTTTGAGGCGTGCAATTTCTGCCTTGAGCTTATTCAATTCGGTGGCCTCAAGAAAATATGTATAATGAACTGAAAATTGAGGAAACCTGCGTTTTTAACCTTTCTTGATTTTGCAGGTCCGATGAAACCGACATTTCCTAAAAAAGTAGTGCTTTAACAATTTGTTTAAAATGTGATTTCCCAAAAGCCATAATTGGTCTCACTTGCCAGCGGCAAGACCTTAAAAATATCTTGATGCCTGCTAAATGATAACGAAAAAGAAAAAAAATTTACCATATTCACGGCAAGTTCGGAGAACGCTTCATCGACATCGTAATATCTCCGTTCCCAATCAATGGGTCTTGCTTCCTAAAACTTCAGACTGTTGCATCCTACTATATATAAAAAAAATAGTGTCTGTGTGTTTGTGTGTGTGTGTGCCACTTTGCATGCAACTTCCGTCAGGGTGTCCGGAGGATATATCGAGAGGGAAAGGGTTTTAAGCAACGTATGATACGTCATTAGGTGCGTAATGGCGCTGAGATGCCTGCACACACATCAGATTTTGCAAATTATGCTATTTTCGACGTTAAAATTAAGTTTTTGTTAGAAAATGGAGCACCCACTTTGTTAGGAATCAATTAGCATATGCCGGAAATGGCGCGAGCCTATATAATGGGCGGAGTGAGAGATTTTCATTTTTCTTCGGAATTCGCGAGAATTATGCAAAATGAAGCATATTATGACGCTAGACGGGGGCCAGGGTTGAAAAGACGCGAAGCGGCTTTTCAACCCTGGTTTGATGTTAAAACGATTCATACATTAAATGTGTTTTAAAAATACCTCTGTTGATGCGCCGGCGCCCATTTTAACTCGAGTTCGGCTGTTATTCAACCCGACTCTTGAAGGGGAACCGTCGAATATTGAGACTGGTGAGCAATAGAATGGCGACACTTCGGCGGCGCCTCCCATTCTATGGCGATAAGAAAACTGCTGTGACGGGGCGGGATATACGTATTATCGCGGAGTTCACAAATTCGGAGCCGAATTCACAAATCGGACCCGATTTTAGTTTGAAGTGGCAAGGGGTTTTAGAACGAATAAGGAGCATAAAACATCAGGATTCCAAAGCGTATCTGTCCATAGTTAATAACAACCCCAATCTGCCTTGAGTCTATGTAAAAAAATTAGTACTAGGTTCGTACCGCAAACATTGCAGTACCCACAATCATTGAGCAGAAATATTTTCCAAAAGAAAGCTTTTGCGGTTTCGAGAAAGATATTGCTATAAACGTAACCAGTGTAAAAAGACCGCTTCGCGGCCCTTTTCCGCTGGCCCACGTCTAGAATGGATGCCTTCTTTTTGGCATGCTGCGCCAGCGCCAGAGTTGCGCTAGAATCTTTGAGCCTGAGGCACTAGTTTCCGTTTTCTGCCGGATTTGGCCTGCGGCGAGAGAGCCTTCCTTGGCCTGCGGCGCTTGAGTCAGCGGCAGTCCCTACTTTTCCCCGCGGCGCCAAAAGGAAGGCAGGAAGGCAAATACAGCACATGGAGTGTCTAGGAATACGCTTTGTTGTGTTTTGAAGCAAAACGTTTAATTCGACGCGGATCGGAACGCCCGACGATACATCTGGAAGAAGGGGTCCGAATCCATTACACCACAGGGGAGATGGGACCGATCGGGAGAAAGGCCTCTTCTGTCTTCGGAGGCGTTGTAGTTGAAGTAAATTTGTTGTAGCGTGTTGTTGTAAATTCGTCAAGATAATATGGTGCGAGTGATCCTCGCTATCGAATACCTAATTGTCCCAAATTACAGACCGAAATTCTATCTGTTGTTCGAGTTATCGTCCGTACAACCCGGCTCGTAGCCCACTTTCATACGGATTTTTTACATCTTTGCTTGTAAAATCGTTAAATGAAGGAATTTAGAAAAATTCCAAAAATATTTCTCCACTTCCATGCCAAAAATCAGCTCGAAATTCGACCTGACGGCCGAGAAAAGGGCTGCACAGAAAACACACCGACTTTTCTCGCTTATAGGATAGGATATCATGCAAGTTCAATTAGGTCCAAAATATTTAATTTTCAGGTTTTTATTCGTTTTAACATTTTATTTATCTTTATGATTTGTGCAATAAAACGTTTGATGTTTGCGTCAATTCCAAGCTTCATCTGATTTCATATGATTGCGCTCTAATAATGGGGGGTGGTGGTCGAGCAGGACGGCTTCGTGGGCGTTTTTAAGTCGGCGAACCCGATGCGTCGGTTGCCGTAGTCGAACACGGTGTACACCTTCCGCATGAAGACGTCGCCAAGGATATTGATCCCCTGGATTCCACTACTCCCAGATACGCCAAGGCTGCAGTAGCCCCGTTTCTGGAATTATTTGGGTTTTTCGTGGAATTTGCCAAAACTTAGTGAGGGGCGCAAAATCGGGTCAGGAACAAGAGCAAAGAACTAGTCAGTCGGAAGCGGATAAGACGGCAATATGACGTGGATAGCCCCCTTTGGTCTGCTATACCTACCGATGTCTGAATACTGTAGTCAGCCCCGGTCATCCTGATCTCGTACGCGCCCATGAACAGCGAAATCACCGGGAAATCCGTGGCGTTGGCGCATGGGTACTCGTCATCCAATTTGCGTAGAGCCAACTAGATTGTATCCTACGATATTAAATTTAAGTTTTTTTTGTCAAAAATCTCCGTAATCCTCGTTGTTAGGTGATTTTAGGGTTCAGTTTTTTATAAAAAATAGTGTCTGTTTGCGTGGGCTTAGACTTAGACTTCCGTCAGGTTGTTGCAGCAGTATCTCAATCATTGCGTGCAGTAAATGGCCTTGCAAAAGCTCACCTCTTCCAGGATCTCTTCTGGGAGAAGCATCATAGTTGTGCCGCTGTCGACGACGGCTGAGACCCCCGGGAACTGACACGAGGTACAGGTCACTTTAAAAATACCCTACCTCCCGCTGACCTACGACAATTTTTTCGGGCGTCACAAACCAAGCCTCATCCCGGACCTCAGCATCGACCGGCACCCAGGAAATCGGGCCCTGCCACCGATTATATGTCATAATGGCAAAAATGATAATGTCGACATTGGTGAGGAAGGTTTCATATTGTCGAAATTCATAACGTTGAAATTTCGGGAGTTTCAAATGCTCGCATTTAGAATGGTGCCTTTTCAAAATATCGCAATTTCAGAACCTTGGAATTTTGCCAATTTCATGAGGCCACAATTTCAAAATGGCGAATTTTCTGAATGTAAAATTACAATACATCGAAATTTTTTGTTGAGGACTTGGAGTTTTTCCGGTAGATTTGCTTAGGTAAATGTCGAAATCATGAAATTTCGGCCTGATAAAGTCTGTGACCATATGAAATTTTAAGATCATGATTTTTTGACGTAATGATTTCTGATTCGCTTTTCAAATAACCCTCTATCACGACATTGTGACATTAGATTTTCAAGCACCTCATAATGCTCCGGGTCCGCTTCACAAAACGTGATCTCGCCGCCGCTTTGCTGGGTGTTGTCGAGGGTGGTGTTCAAGTAGAAGGCAAAGACGGGATCCGGGCAGTTCTTCTGAAGTTGTTGCATTGTTCGCCGTGGCGAGTGTCCAACCTTGTCTTCGAAAATACTGTGCAGAGCAGACATCGGGATCCCTGCGATGTCGAGGCCAAAGATTCCCCCGAGTTTCTAAAAATTTGAAAAAAATTTTGTATTGTTAATTTGTAGCTTAAAGATATCATTAATTATCTATGCATTAGCTGGAAATATGATTCCTAAGATGGGTAGCTTGAAATTACCGCACCCGGGTAAAAACGCCCTTCATTGTATCAGCGCACCCAATTGGTACCGGCTCCTTCGTGCAGTATCCAGCCAACTGGAAGGTATTGTTAAAGTTCGCCGATCATACGCAATGCAGTAAAAAAAATGGAAAACTTACACACAAACGATCCGTGAATAGGCGCCCGCTGACCTCGCTCCGGTCCGCGTATGGTACCGAGAATCTCTCACAAGGATACGTTTTTGAGTGTCGTCGGGACCTTGGCACGGGACCAAGCCTATCTTGTGCAGAATTTTACGCTGATTCCGAATATGTTAACTGTTTTTGCGGAATAGCCATTTCTCGAAAGTTATGAACGATTTAAACCTCAAAACAGCCGAAAATCTACTACTTTCAATAGTCATAAAAGGCTTCAAAATAGGTTTTAGACAAAACCAGATAGTGCATCTTGTTCAGAAAAAAATTCTCTATAAAATATACCATCTTCTCCAAAATCATTGAAAAGTAAGAAAATTTGATTGATGGGCGGCCCCTAATTTTACAAAAATTTCCAAAATTCCAACATTTTTTGAGTTAAATGGCTTATTTGATAGAGAATTTTTTTCTGAACAAGATGCACTATCAAGTTTTGTCTAAAACCTATTCCGAAGCCTTTTATGACTATCGAAAGTGGCCGATTTTGGGCTGTTTTGAGGTTTAAATCGTTCATAACTTTCGAGAAATGGCTATTCCGCAAAAACGGTTACTATATTCGGAATCAGCGTAAAATTCTGCACAAGATAGGCTTGGTCCCGTGCCAAGAGGTCCCGACGACACTCAAAAACGTCTCCTTGTCAGTCGTCGTGTTGCATGTGCTCGACCCCGAGCAGTCAAACTAAAACAATTTTTTGGAAATTTAATAGGTCCAAACTAAAATGGATATATTAAACTGGTTGCCAAGGTGCCGAAACTTGCGCACCTTGTCGAGTGTCTGCTGAGCGCAGCTACCCTCCCTACACGAGCTGCATGCTTGCCAGGTGATGCTCGAGCCGGTGTCGAAGTCAGTGTAGAATTTTTGGCTCGGTGTCCCGACTTCGATTTCTCCGTAGTAGAACATCTGAAATTTAGATTTCAAGAACGATTGGAGCTATGCGTACAGGATGTCCCAACAAAGAGCCCCGCTAGCAGTCGGCAGTTCGATTTTTGCGGGTTAGGTATCTATCGAAAGTCCACGACGAGCTGATAGATCTTATTCTATCTTCGATAGATTTGATAGCTTTACGGATCGTAAAAATCGACCGATTTGTGTTCACCGATTTTTCGAAATTCCCAATTTTTTTACAATTCCTAGTTACTTTGCTAAATGGATTGAATATCTGACGCTGCTCCGATGTCAGAGTTTTTTGTACGTGATAACAACTTATGAATTTTCGCGCCTCTTGCTACGATCCACCAACAGCTTTATGAAAGCCATTTGAGAAAACACGGCTATATACTCAAATTTCATACAAAGCTGTGTTTTCTAAAATGGCTTTCCAAGATCTGCCTTCCCGTTGCCGGCAACGGCACAAAATTTCAGGTTTTTTCAAAAAAAATCTTTTGAAAAAGAAGGTTTGAAAAATCCCAAGAAAAAACCGAGAGCTTTCCCGAGATAACTAAATCGTAAAAAACGGACGCATCTACGAACCGCTAAAGAGCCGCCACTTTTGGAGCATCCGGTGGGAACCCACGAATAGAAATCTGATAACTTGTCGAACTAACCAGATCTTCCGTATACAACGGCTCCTCGGGGACCTTTCCTGCCTTTTCATGTCGACGATTTGGACGGGCTCTCCTGGTTAGGGGCACTCTAAATTTTTGGAGCCTGAATTAACACTTTTTGGCTTGAAGTAACCTTATAATTGCATCGACGGCGAGAACAGACACCAGGATCAGCAAGGGGAGGCGCATCTCGGGAGTTGATGATCATCGAGTCTACTGCGCTCATTTTATAGGATACCCCTAAAAGGCCAATTGCAAGATGATTAATAATTGCTCAAAAAAGGTTGTGCCGGTTTGTTAATAGAATTTATTGAATTCGGAAGATGGGACTAGGTGGCCAGGCCAAGCTGAATAGGCTGTATTGAGGTGATTTTTCGGGCGGGGGTGGACCAGCGACGATTACAATGACGATGATGATGTATTTGGTTGATCGACTAATTGCGAAATTTTGCAAAGAGTCTGTTCAACCGTAATTTTGTGAAATCGACGAGCTAGAGAGGGGGTTTATCAAATCGTGGATCAAAATTCGCATACAGGGTGTCCCAACAAAGTGTCCCGCCCTCCCCCGCTAGCGGCGCGGAGGAAGCTGAAATCCGGCTGATTTTTATACCATTCGAAAGCTCTCGAAAAGGCCAGGGAACAAGCGGGTTTCGCTTGCTTAAATTGTTTAGCATTTTCTTGATATTAAGCTTCTTGCTAAAAAAGAGTGTTTTTCTGTTCCGATCTTCGCGTCAATCAGCTCTTTTCACAGTTTTCAGTCATAAAAATTTACAATTAAACTACGTACTATTGAAAGCCAAAACGGCTCGATCGCTTGCCATTTCGCCAGCTTTCGATAGCTACCTAAATCATAAAAACAAATCTCCACGAAGCCGTTAAGGTTTTGTATTTCCTGACCACCAACTAACCCCCCCCCCCCGCAAACAGTGCAGTACCAAACAAACAAAGTACAGAAATAGCTCGTGAACGAAAGCTATTGCGGACAGATTGCATAAAAAGGTAATTAAATTCTTCAACAGCGAGTGTCATCAAATTCCTGGCAGCGTTTCTTGACGGTAGCAAATTTAATTCCACGACGTGACACCTTGATTTCCCGGCCAACTGTGGTCACTTCCAACCATGTGGAGCGCGATTTTTCTCACCCTATTTTTATGGCCGCACCTATCGATTGATGCCCTACAATCACCATGGCGCCAACGAAGCCCGGACGACTGGAATGGAATCCGTAAAATCCAAAATTTTAATAGCCCCACCATAACACAACAGCGTTCGAGCTTTTTGTGGACGACGACGACCCGGAAGCATCGGCAATCGGAATGGAGTGGAATATGCCGGGTTTCAGCGTTAAAAAAGGATGCAAATTCTTAAGGTCCTTCCAACCGCTTGAATTCACCGCCCATACCGCGGGGAGAGCTTTTTTCGCTTGACTGGACTGATCAGGAACTTGATGGTCGGCTGGAGAATATTGGTCCATAGTGTTTAGAGCTCGGCTTCGATGGTATTACCGATCCGTTCGCCAAAAACGCTGCGAATCCGGTTTACGAGTTTGGTAGGACAAGGCCACGGGATTTGGGGCATTTTTTAGACTACGGCGACTTTGGGGATCAGCCTCCAGCTGAACAAGCCCGAAAAAGCCCGACACCTGAAAGGCGTAGGTTAACAATAAGATGTTTTGTTGGTTACAGAGTGCCCCAAAAACAAACCCTACGTTGACCTCCGCAGTGGTGTCCGTTTTTTACGGTTTAGGTATCTGTCGACAGCTCTCGACGAGCTGAGGAGCTCTGTTCTTTCGGGTTTTCGAAACCCCGAATTTTTCGCTCGATTTTCGGCAGTTTTTATGCCAAAGTTAAACGTTTTTCACAAAAAAAACCCTAAGATAATTTGCTTAAGCGCAATCCCGGCCGTGTTTTCTCAAATGGCTTTGAAAAAAACTGCCGTTGGGCTGTCGCAAAAGGCATGTAAATACATAAATCATAATTTTTTAATAGAGTTTTAACCGAGAAGCATCAGAAGTCTGGCCATTTTGTATATATATCAGTAATTGCAAGAAAAATTCAAGAATTAATGTTTTCCTGAAAATCATTTCAGGCCCTCCAAGTCCAGATGAACTAGTAGAAGTAAAGCCGTCCGGAACTCGCAGAAGACATCGAAAGGGTGAGTCTGCCAATCCCGTTCTACGCATTTCAGGGCAACGTAAAATCGGACCCTGGGGCCCTGGTCATCTACCGCCCGCTGTCGCGCGGGATCAACTTGTTGCATGTAAAGATTTTCAGCACTCTCAGAGTTCGTAACCCGCTCAGATTCCCCCTCCACCGATCCTGACCACAAAAAGAAAAATGACGCGGCGCTGAGGGAGAATTTGAAACTACGTAGGCTGAATAGAAACGTATAGGTCTCGAATTCAGGCCAATACACCGGTGTTCTAAATTCCTGGTCGACGGACCTGGACGGTTTCCACAAATTCGCCATCGAGAAGGGCCGGACGCAGTTGATGCCATTTCTCGGTTGGCCAGAAAGCTAGCAATCTGGAAATTTGCTGAATGTCTAGAACGAGCCAACCAACTGGATGCCGCCCAAAAAGCTCGAGTTCTGGAGGAGCGTCTTTTTGCGTCCCACTTCAACCTACCCCTGGATCATGATGGACTGAGCAAGGAATTGAATATTCCGAGAGCAGAGGTCAGAGAGAGATAGAGAGAGAGAGAGCGAGAGAGAGAGAGATACTCAATTTCAGCTCGACGACCTCAATCAAGCGTTCGCCGCACGCGACAAACAGTAGCGTTTCATATTCCTCACTTTTGATCTTCCTTCCTTTTTAGAGCTTACATCCGGAAAGGCCAGCTAGGGAAAAAGAAAGCCGTGGATATGCACCAGACAGGTTTGACGGCATTTGAACAAAAAGTCGAGTGCCGATAGATATTCATCAGCCTCCTCCAAAACAAGCCCGAATTGCCGACCAGCGGCTCGCGATCGGCACATCGGGTAATCTTTGTAAAAACCCGTTTCAAATCTTTTATATTTGACTTTTCGGATTGGACCCAGCGAACAACCTAGTCGATCGCCAGTTACTCGACAAGTTGCGGAAGCAACTGGGTACGTAGCAGATTTTTTAAACTTATGTTTTATCGGGGGGTGGGCTTTTAGATTTTATCTAAACGGACCTGTTAATAAAATATAGCATGTTTTCCTTGTGTTTTTTAGAATTTTTTATTGGTCCGACATGGCAAAACATGAGTATTTTTAGAAACTTTAAATAGCACATTTTAGGTTTCTCGATTTTTCGAAGATTTTTCCATATTTTCATAACAAAAAACACAGCATATAGACTTGGACTACAAAATAGGTTTAGTTTCATTCTAGCGTAACACGGACCCGGGAACATTTTTTTCGCCTTCCCCTGACAGTTCACAAGCTCCGCATTTTCCCAAAGCCTTTAGAGATTTCCCTTCTTTAGAACGCCACCCCGAGGTGATGGACTTTAACGAGTTCCAGGATACGGCACTGTATCGGAGACTGCGAAAGCAGGGCCATGATCCAGCCGCGGTAATATTGATATTTTTTTACTCTATAACTTCCTAGATGAAAATGATTTTTGATAGTGTGCCGCAGCATGTTCGGGAGGAGGGTACTGCTAATTTTAAAATACTGAATACCGTTCTTAGTGGCCCAGTTCCAGCGCGACGTGCCGGACGTCAGAAAGCGATTCGCAAAGCTGTCCAACGAATTACATCCAGGAAAGTTTAACTTGCAAAAGCAACTAGCTAGCTTTAAAGGGGTTAGGAAGTGCCAAAATCGATGCTTTGGCTAGACTAGATCTCGAGAGAAAGGCGACAAGCCAAATGAGAGTCGTGCGCGAGGTTCCGCAGCCGGAACTTTGACGAACAAGAACAAAATTCAGAGCAGTTTCAGGCTCTTTTTGGTGAGCCTAGTAGCTGTCGAGGTCGAGGCGCCTGAAAGGGCGCGTTGCGGCTGGCACACGGTTGCCGCGTGGTACAGTGAAAATCTAGGGATATGATGCCTTGCCCATCCCTTTAAAACGCCATGACGGGTCGCGTTGCGCGTTGCGGGTCCTCAAATCAACGCACCGCCTCAAAATTTATTTAGACCATATGTACGAGTCACAAGACAAGGCGCGCTATGCAGATGGTATAAAAACGCACCGAATCCCTGACGGTACGCTTTTTCGATAAAAATTCCCGGGATAGAATAAAAATAATTTTTCTAGATCCTTGCGATAGGAGGCGAAAACGGGCGGCGGACAGGGCCGGGCGGGTTGGGTGTAACTTGTCCGTGAAGAACCTGCATCGGCCAACCGACCAGAAGGCCAAGGTAATCTACAGGCATCCATATAATTTTTTAGGTCTGGATAATCTATGTGTAGTGATTGTTATTGTTTTTAGTGTCATTCGCTCAATAAAAATATATATTGCTGTGGGTAATTTGATAACGGCTTGCATTGGTTGAATATAATTTTGTCGAGATTTCATTTTATCGGACTTTCAAGCTGTCGGAAAATAGTTTTGTTTTCCGCATTAAATTTATACACATTTATCGCATGGTCTTTCCTTAACAGCGCTGCTGACAAAAGTGGTGACCATCGCGGCGGCAACAGGCGTATCCGAACGTGCACCCGATTTGGGTGCTGTACTGGCATTCGTCTCTCTGGAATTTAATGCATTAATTTTTTCAAAAAAAAAATTGAGAGAAGAAGTTTTGTATATGTCCATACTATCGAATTGAAGGTTTTTGGTGCAGCCATGGCCATGGTCACGAGCAGAAAAAATGGAAGGCTGAATTTGATGGGGTGCATTTTGCGCTGGTATGGGAATGCATGAGAAAAACAGCAAAAACACTCTTATATGTGATTTTTTTATTTAATTTATGCCATGTTTTTCAAACACCTATCGAAACGTACGGGGCCGATTTTCAAAATAGCAAAACTTTTTCAATTTTTCCATTTCCTTCAAATTTATTCAATCATACTATGCATTGACAGGACATGCATATTTGGGTTCATAGCAGCTTCCATGGACTCCAATTTTCGTATTTGGGCAGCATTTCTCGTAGCCGGGGCGGCAATGATTCGGGTGGTCAACGAGACAAGATGAATCCTGGCGTAAAAATTCGCGTTTTTGTCGATTTCGAAAGAGTTTTATACCAATTTTAATGCCATTGCCATGATCGGAACTTACGTAGCGTTGGCTGATAAACGGTAGAGCCATGATAGAAATGTTGTAATGGCAGAATAAATAGAAAAATAGCCATAGCGTTTTCATGTTCGGCTGGTTGGCGGTAAATGTTATAAAATAACAAGACATCGAGGAAAAATAAGAAACTCAGGGCTGAAGAAAGAGAGGGAAAGAAGCTAGGAAAAAAAAGCAAGAGAAAAGGTTCAATAAAAAAATTCCATGGGTTTATGGGAAGCAGAGAACCGCCATCAAACATCAAAAGAATTTTTCCGAAAAACATCTTTATTCCCATTTCAATGCAAAGGTGGCGGGCATTCCTGATCGGTGTACGAGCAGCTCCCCTGGTCATTCTTCTTCGTGTTCGGGCAGCACTTTTGGTAGCCCGGCCGACAATTGTTCGATTTTCCGACGTAGCAAACCGAATCCTAAATGAACCGGATGGATTCGGAAATTCAGATAATATGAAATTGAGACCCCACCCGTGTTTTTTAATTTTCTAACTTACGAATCCGGCCGCTAGCTGTAGGTTCAGAAAGAACACAACCAGAAGAATAGCGAGCGGCTTCATCGCGAATTTTTGGACTTGGAGTTCGCAGCAGTTGGGTTTTGAGGCGATTTTTCGCTTTTATAAAGCGGAACTTCAAAGATTTCCGCCACAAAGGGCTTTTAAACTTTTGATTCAGGCGGATTCCTTGCCAAATCGCAAGAAAGCGCCTCGTTTCTAATTTAATGAGATCCGCAGAAGCCGGAAAAGCCGCTGAATTGTTGGCAAGACAACAAAACTTTGCAGTAACTGAAGTGAAGGGCTTAGGTAAATAAAGTTTTTTCCATGTACGTGTTCAGTAAGTTTGCTGAGCGTATAAGCTTACTAACACAAAGCAACTGGGCAAAGAGAAAGAGAGAGAGAGAGAGAGAGAGAGAGGGGGGGATAGAGAGTGAGATCGTACTTTATACGCACAACTCCCGTTACGTACGCCTTGAAAATTGACCTATGGATCTAAAGGGACACGTGAGTCAACAAATGCTGAATACACTGTAACCAGCCAACGAAACCAATGAATTTATTCATTGCTGTTGTAAAGCTTTAGCATTCTCCATCACGGAAGCAAGCCGCTCCATGCCGGCCAATCGGGCAGCACTTGAAGTTGGGCGGGCAGTCCTGCATGTTCAGGTCACACCTGTCCGCATCTTCGGGGCGAACCTAGAAACTTCCGTTAAAAAGCTGGATGCGTACCGTGATCAAAAAATGGGACCAAAAATTTATTTTCGACTGCATAGGTTCGCTTCGGCTTTGCTTTTGTTGATGCTTAGCTTATTCTGAGGCTTAGGCTTTGCTTAGGCTTTGCTTAGACTTTGTTTAGGCTTAGGATTAGGCTCGGATTTTTCACGTTTATAAAGCATTCATCTTCTTCTATCATAACAAGTTATTTTCTAACCCTAGAGAGCTCAGAAAGTTAAAAAAAAGCTACCCCTGTAGATTTCGGCCTTCCTGCGAGGACTACAGCAACCAGGGCGAACAGGAAAAAAAGGGTGAAGAAGCGCATTTTCAACTATGGTAGAAATTCCTGGGCTCAACGGTTTTATATGGCGTCCCGATCAGGACCCGCTTCCTGCATATATTTTTACGGATACGCGGAGGCGTTTTGGCGTTTTCTATTACCAGATTGACAACACCGCGCTGCTCTAGCGCGTGAGCCATGAAGAGAGAGAGAGAGAGAGAGAGAGAGAGAGAGAGAAAGAGAGAGAGAGAGGCAAAGGATGTGTCAAAGGGATTATTAGGCGAATTATACGGTATAATGCACTGTAGGCATGACAAATTTTCTCATCCCATTTATTAGACTAGCGTCACCAGGAATACAGGAAAATCACATGCGAGTCGGGTATAAAAAAACAGGTGCGTGGTCAGATCGTCTATACGTCCGGCGAATGGGCGGGAAACTACGGAACAAAAAAGTTGTAAGCGTCGAGCGAGCGTGTCGAGCGTGATCTGTCAAACTCCATCGTCCTCTGAAAATCCAAAAGCACATTATCCCCAGGAGCTAAAAAGTTTTGCGCATCTGCAAGCGTCTCACCCCTGCAAAAGAACGATCGAAGCCACACGTAGCGGCCGAGGAGCGTGTCCTTCGGCGGGTCGAATTCGAACGTCGGCTGAAGGGTTGAACGAATCGTCACGCAAAACGCCGAATTGATACCGTGAACGACTTCTCGCAGGAGTGGTCCCACACCGAGTCGTTTAACTGAACGCGTTCCGACGCTGTCGAACTGCCGAACCCTACCAGACGATCGATGGCGCGCTCGCGAATCGGCACCGAGTTGTGGGGCTCCACCTTGGTCCATTCCTTGAACGCGAGCTCAGCGCGTTCCATCGCAGCCAAACGCTAAACAGACGGAAAAATTAATTTAGTCTGAAAAAAGCTCAATAGAAGATGGTTTTATATTTTTCTGAGTAAGCTTTAGCTAGCGTCTAAAAAAAACACGTAGAAAAAGGTTAAAAAGTTGCGAAAAATCGAAATTTTGGTAATTTTGCGAAACGAAATCGAATTTTGATTAAAAATTCGTAAATTTTTTATCACAGGAATCGCCAAAACCAATGAACACATAAGGCATTTACTTAAATTCTAAGCTTACGCTTGGTTCCTCCACCAGGAGTCCTAAAGTACGCACGTCTGTAATGATCCATTTGGGCTTAGGCCTGAGCCACCTCGGATCCTTTACTTCCGGCTCGTCCCCCACGAAAGCGGCTTTGATGTCCTGCTGGGCTTGCTCGGAGGCCTCGAAGAAATCGTCGCTCTCCTTCTCGGTGCGCGTGCTAAACAAGGTGTGATATTTTGGCGACAGGGATCATCTATCGACGCCGTCCCTGAAAAGTCGACCTGCGGAAGTTGTAGTCGCAGGAGATGAGCAGGAAACTCGGACCCTTCACACCGATCAGCAGGCCCTCGTGGCTCTGGATGTGAGGGAGGTCAATGGCGTGGAAAAGCTAAGCTTACCTGAGGCCCACGACGAATCAGCCAAAAATCGTGCGCTCTGTAAACCCAGTCGATGCAGTACGGGTCGGTTTTTCCCTTACAGATCTCGGCGGGCAGCTCGCAGATCTCTGAAAATCGCAAGGTTGCACGCCTCGGAAAATCACGGACCTTCGTCGATGTCATCCCAGTCCTCCCAGGCGGGCGGCCGGCTGTCTGCAGAACTCAGCGAGATCAGCGAGATGTGGTCAATCTCGCGCTCGCGTCGCTGCCACTGCTGAAAAAGATCGGGTAAGAGCTCCATCTGCACTCCCCCACCAAAGGTCCCAGTTGCCGGGTATTTCGCCACTGGTTTGATTTTGGAAACGCCAT